GTTGTTAAGCACAAATACGTAGCCGCTTGTACTTCGTCTAGTATCAGTATCTCCAGCCCAGTCGGCATCGGAATAGCCAAGCAACTTGCCATTGCCAGCGCCAATAAAACGAATACCAAGTGTAGGAGTCGATTGCAGGTACCGTAGCACGCGCTTGAGTGCTTGCCAGTGTGTCGGACACGGGTCAGCAGCAAACTGGCTGAGCACTCCCACTGAAGCTGCGAGGTCTGGACGCGTGCCTACCATGAGGTACATCAAGGCTCCGACGGCACTTCGGTATGGCACTCCTTGCATGGTGTAGTTGTGCTTGCATTCATCTTTACACATACGCTTAGTCAACTTCAGTCCGGGGTCTTGCGGTGTCTTAACAGGCTTAGAGTCTTGCATACCGAACTTGGTCAGAATCGATCGCAAGAACTTAGTCTGTTTCATCGATACATCGCCTGACTTGTCATCTCGCTCGACTTCTATTCCGAGGCAGTACTTAAGCTCACCGAGATCGGACATCTCGAATCGCTCGCTCAATGCACGTTTGGTGGCTGCGAGGATGTCCATGTTGTTGCACGCAAGGATGAGGTCGTCGACGTATATGACAACAAACATCATGACCTTGTCGTCACGCTTGGCGTAGACACAGTGATCCATCTCGCACTTGGTGAAGCCAATATTGCGCATGAACTCATCAATAGTCTGGTTCCACATTCGAGGGGATTGCTTGAGTCCGTACAACGCACGCTTGATCTTGCACATGATTGGCATCAACGAATCCGTCAGGCTGCTTCATGTAGATCTCTTCTTCAAGCATACCGTTGAGAAACGCCGTTTTGACGTCCATCTGGTGAAGTACGAGGTTGTGCTGCGCGGCGAGGCGAGGCTCACAATGATCCGGATCGACGCGAACTTGGCCACTGGTGCGAACGTCTCCTCGAAGTCCACACCGTACTTTTGCAAAAATCCTTTTGCCACGAGGCGCGCTTTGTATCGCTCGATGAGTCCATCAACAGTCTCCTTCACCTTGAACACCCACTTGCTGCTGATCGCCTTGCGATCACTTGGTAACGGCACGAGTTCCCACGTGTTGTTCTTGCACAATTACTGAAACTCTGATTCGCACGCTTCTCGCCACTGTCTTGCGTCGCTGGATTCCATAGCCGATGAGAATGCGCTTCTCCCACTGAATCCACGACGTTAGCACAGTCTTCTTCATTTTCTTCGTCTTCTTCTTCGTCAATAGATGCGAGAAGCGCCGACATGGCTTCGAGTGGTGACACAGTACCTTGCACAGACGATGTGTGCACACCACTTGTACTAGCCCCGCGTCCATAGCGTTTTTCCATTGGCGGCTCTGACAAAGCTTCTAGTGACTGTGTGCGTACATGTCTTTTCGACCCCGGTAGAAACTCGGCTGTCTGATGCTGCGGATACTGCGGTTGATGACTTGAACGCTGCATTTGTTGCCATTGTGGCCGCTCATGAATCGATGCTGATTCGGGCATATGCACATCCATGTCTTCATTGGCAACCCCGTTGTCACGATCGTTGAAGCCTTCATCAGAGTTATGATACTCGATAGGGTCGATGCCACTTTGTTGCATGCACTTCCCGCTGTCGAACATGTCTTCCATGAATTGGGCGTCGCGACTCACTAGAATGCGACTGCTTGATATCTCTTCAAACCGGTACGCCTTTTCGTGGTCTGAGTAGCCCAAGAAGCGACAACGTCGATCGCGCATCAAGCTTCGACCCCTTCTCTTTCGGCACATGCACATATGCGTGACATCCAAAGACTTTCAGGTTTTTCAACAACGGCTTCGTCTTCGTCCATACCTCGTGCGGGGACTTTTCATGGCCAATTGCTTGCGTCGGACTTCGATTGCGTAGGAACGCTGCCGTTGACACTACTTCACCCCAGTAGCGCTTGCTTAGTCCCGCATGCTCAATCATGCATCTAGCACTCTCGACTAGAGTTCTGTTTACTCGCTCCGCCACTCCGTTGAGTTGTGGGGTGTACGGCGGTGTAAACTGCTGTATGATGCCTTTGTTGCGACAGAACGCGACGAACTTGTTGGAAACATATTCTCCAGCGTTATCGCTGCGGAGCATCTTGATGCGACGACCGGTCTGAGTCTCGGCAAACTTGGTGAACTGCATGAATCTGTCTAACACTTCAGACTTGCTGTGAATTAGGTACACAGTACAAAACCGCGACTTGTCATCGATGAACGTCACAAAATAGCGCTTGTTGGAAAATGTCGAAGTCTGCATTGGTCCACATACATCGGAATGCACGACGTCAAGCAGGTTCCTTGGCTGGTTTACGTGTAGTTGACTGAAAACTCACTCGTGTCTGCTTTCCGAGCGCGCATCCGTTGCAAAGCTCCCACTTGACCACAGATGTAATGTCGATGCCGACACCGAGGTTCTGCTTCACGATCGCGTCGAGTCCACCATGGCCAATGTGACCAAGACGCAGATGCCACAAGTATGACTTGCTCATCTGAGGCTTGTTGTATTCACTTGCGATGCTCGCGCTCTCGACTTGCACAGGTGTCATGCATAGTCTAAAGAGACCTTTGCCGGCACGCTCGCCGATCTTCCACTTCTGGTTCTTGAAATTTGCATAACAGGTGCTCGTATCAAACGTCACTGCCGCGACATCCTTGGTAAATCGGCCAACTGAGAACAGATTGCGTGAAAGCTTTGGAATGTGCCACACATTCGTAAGCACACCCTTCTTGGCACCACTTGGTGTCTTCATCATCATCACTACGTTGCCGGTCCCAATCGCCTGCACGACCCCGTCGTCTGCGAGATGAACGTTAACTGGATCGATGGTCTTGTAGTTTGTCATAAACCGCTTTGAGAATGACATGTGCTGCGTCGCACCAGAGTCTATGAGCCATGCTGGATTCTTGACGCTGTCGTCGTCGTTGCTCTCCAGTCCAGCTGCAAACAGGAAATCGTCCAATTTTTCATCTTGGTTGTGCGCCACATTCGCACGCTGCGGACGCTGCCGGTCCGCGTTGTCATGGATCCGTGAGGTACACTCCGCGATCCAATGACCCATCTTACCGCAGTAGTTGCACGCGCCAGTCTTCTTGAATGGCCGTCCACTACGCTTCTTCTCACCTGTCATGAACGCTTGACCTGCAGCGACCTCGTCACTGCCTTGCTCCTTGCGCTTCATGTCTTCATGTAGCAGCCTGGATGTCACCAGTTCCCACGATAGCGAGTCGGCCCTTGACTCCAAAGCAGTAATGAGAAATGCAAACGACTCACTAAGCTTCCAAGAAGCGTGATCACCAGGTCGTCTTCGCTGACCGGAGCACCCACCGCGTCGAGTTGTTCCGCCAGTGTCTTTATCTTGTTGATGTGCGAAAGCACATCATCGCCTTCCTCCATCTTGGCCGTGAAGAAACGGCGACGAAGAAAGAGTTTGTTGGATAAGCTCTTCTTCTCAAAGTGGCCTTCCAGCCGTGACCATGCATCGTACGCTCCACTTGCCGACCGGATCAGGGGCAGCTGCGAGTCCTCCATCGCAAGACAGATTATCGCGAGCGCCTTCCTTGACTTGCGCTTTAACGTTGACTGATCCAGCGTAGTGGCAAGGTGTTCCAGCTTGATCTCCCCGCTTGTCACTTCCCAAAGGTCCCGCTCCTCCAGCACCATCTGCATTTTGAGCTTCCAAGTGTGGAAGTTCGAATCATCAAACTTGTTGATGCGAGCGTTGGTGGCGGTGGTAGCTTCCATGTTGAAGGCGAAGTCGGCGTCGGGGGCAGAGTCAGCAGAGCTTGGGCTCATAACCTGTTGTTAAAGCACTTGGGTTGTAGAAAGCAAAATGCAAAGTGAATATATTTAGGTCCTTAGTTCACTAACTCTGTTGCTACTCTAAGCCTACTGGATTCTTCGACTACACGTTTCTAATCGCTATATCGCGCATTACTCATGGGATAGCCGCACATGAGTAATCTACTCTACACACATGACTCATCAGATAGTCACTCATGAGTAATCCACGCTAGTGGCATTACTCATGGGATAGGCGCACACCTAACTAATCAGACCGTACATTCTTGTGGTTGCCGTTTGCATGCCGAGTCGCTTCTTTTACAACAATTACGTCGTCCAAAGCACGCAACATTCACTCTCGTTGCTAGGGGGTTTCGGATCAAATTGGCCTATAATATCGGTCTTTAGTTGTAAGAACGTCATTGGCGGCGGAAAAAGAAGCGTTTCATGCGGAGTTAAAACACTTGGAAGAGGTTGCAGCGATTAGAAATGTACCTCGTCCGAATGGATCGACTCAATTGTCTGCTCCATTTGCATGGACCATCGACATCTTGTAGCTCAAATGAATACGAATTGAAGGATGGCAATGTCGCAGCAGACTTTGAGCCGGCTTTGGTCTCTCTGTTGTTACTCAGTATCACCTCATATCTACCGACAATAATGTCCAGATACAGCATGCTGCCTGCAAGAATTGATTGCAAATTTGGAAGAAGTGCGACTGCAGCTGCTAGGTTCTGTTCAGTTTGACATTTACACAGTGTCCATGTATTGCACGTTTGCTAGACCATTGCAACCGAATTCTTGGCGGTACCAGTGGTCTCGTTCTCGACGGAAGAAGTTGTGGTCGTGTGGATACCTTGGCTAAACAGCGTTTCTAGCAAAATCTCATTTGTCTCTGGCAATTAAAGTTAGACGAAGACACCGCACAAATTGGATGATACTAGCAATCATAATAGAAAACACCATTGGCGTGAGCAGTAGATCATGGCAGAGCTTCCAATTTACAGGTATCGCATAATGTCGTACCCAAGCAGAAGTACCAGTTTCGGTACGACGTTTTCTATTATTCGCATTGATTAAAAACCGTTTTTACCGGTACTAGCCAGTATCTAATCCTGAACATCTTATACATTACCAATTTACAGCGAATTTAAAAAAAAGGTATACCTTCCATTAGTAATAATGCTGTCCGAATATTCACACTCGAAATTATGCAAGAGATTTGGCGGTCAGTGGAACTACCAGCACCGCTCGAGACAGATGCGTTAGTGCAGCAAAATCTGAGCACTCGCACAGAGTTGGAGGCATGGGTGGAAGCGCAAAAGACTCGTATTCTCGAAGAGAAACGTACCGATCAGCTGCAGTCCCAGGAACACGCACGCGCTACGGACGAAGCGCAGCGGAAGCGTGAAATGCTGCAGATCGAGCATCAGAAGCTTTTAACCGGTATGTCAACGCAAAATAGTTTACGGTATTATAACAAATACACTGACGGTAGGTAATGGCTACATTGTAGACACACATACCAAGGAGAGAGAGCTGAATGCCAGCCAAATGGAAATTGAGGTGTTGCAGGCTGAAAAGAGCAGGAGGGAGCCTGTGGTGAAGCAGTTATTCGAGAAAACGGTGGAGGAGGACGCAAAGCTCAAGCAATTACTGACTGAGTCACAAAAGCAGAGAACAACGCAGAAGCAGCAGCTGCAGGAACTCAAGCAGGGACTCAGCATGTATCAGAAACTGGGACTTTTCTTCGAACACTCAAAAGGTTAGTTGATGGCTGTTTGTGTTGATCTATGGGAGCAACACCTTTGACTAACATGGAGGGGCTGGCGAGTATAGATCGAATTGTTGTTCGGTTTACTCAAATTGATGCAGAGAACCCCGATCGTGAGTTTTTCTTCCAGATCACGATCGACCCGATAACTGATCGATATATTGGTTAGTTTGTTCGTTCTTGCACTGGAGTTGTAGAGTATGACTCACTTTTGTTTTATTTGTAGTTGATAATTGCAACGAAGATGTGGCGTCGCTGAATAATCTGGTGACAACGCTGAACGAGACTGGCGACTTGGCACTGTTCATCCGCTCCATGCGCCGCATGTTTAAGCAGCTTGTGTAAATGCGTCAACTTCGAGCCTGTTTATATACGCCGTCGTTTTGCATTTTGCTGTGTTTTTACCGCAGAAGCTGCTTGTCTTGGTTGCAGATGCTGCGAAGTTGACGGTATTCTGGCAAGTTCCGGCATAGATTGCTGAGATCTTGATGGCAGAAGTGGTCCTATGAATTCAGTATTGTCGTTCACAGCAACAGGAGGAAGCGGAGGTGGCAGGGGTGGATTCCATGAAGTCTGCCTCTTCTTGTTACTCCTTGCCGCTACCGGGTTCCGTTTTGCATCATGAGTGCGAGGTCGAGCTCGAAACAGCAGCAGCTTTCGTCGCTGTGCCAATTTGTCTGCCGTGTCTTCTCGTGACTCGAATTGCGGCGCGTATGAGATCTGGAGTCGGTTGCCATAGAATGGCTTTTGTACTCCACGTACTTTGGCATGACGCGCGTTATTTACCGTCTCATACTGCACCCACACTGTGTCTGTGAACTCGTCGTCATCCTCAACGCCGACCTCAAACTGCAGTGCTTTTTCCCGGTCGTCTGCATGGTCTAGCAGTCGGTACTCGCAGACTTTCCCGTAGAGACTGAGCCGCTTGAGAAGGTCATCGATCACTCCAAGCGCCGGGACATTGCGCACCACGACGTACCGTGACTCGCTGGCCACGGTGAAGACGCGCACGCAGCGACAGGTCATATCGATTCTCAGCCAATCGTTTTTTTTGCTTGATGTTCCGACACCGACGGCTGGATGTTCTACATGCTACCGTAACAACACATGCAACGATCAAAGTGGTCTGAAAAATGATTGATCGTCTTATATAAACTGAGCATGGTGACATCAAATAACTTAACGATCGGCTTCCATCGTCCTACTTGTCTGTGTCTCGCATCTCGCTCGCATACCCGCTTACCACTAGCACAAACTATCCCTCGCCGCCATGCTTCCAACGCAAACTCACGACCGTCCAGATTTCGACAACGGCGCCATCATCCACTGCTCCTCTCTGTCTGCACAAGCACTACTTCCATTGGCACTGCAAAATATCAATTGCTACACGAATACCAGCTCGGCGTGTTCGTCGACCGCAGCGGGGGAGTATTACGGTCGTCGAAAGAGTGTGACGATGAATAGTGCACCGCTCCCAAGGCATTAACACTAATTTGGGATGCGTTCAACGGCGCAACGTCGGCGTAGTCGGCGTCGCTGTCATCGTCTTCACCAACCCCTTCGCTTTCGTGTGTTGGTTGCTGGCTGCTTTGCCTTCCTCCTCTCTCCTCGTCATTCTTTTCGACATGGAGATCTTGCATTGATCGTCGAATAGCTTCCAAAAGCATCATCTCCTCCAAATGTGCAGCATCTGCTGGTGTCGCCAACGGATGGGACGCTGCGTCATTCAGCGCCGCGACACTGTTCGGGTGTGGACTGTTCGTGACGGGTTTGTTACTGATACTGAGCTGCGAACGGAGCGAGTCGCGAATGCGATGGCGGTCTTCCACCGAAGCATAATGTACGCTCTGCGTGCTCGTCAAGGTAGTCGTTGGCTCTGTTTCCACGCGCTTCGGGATGCCAATGGCGCTACTTCGGCGTGGAGATCTCACATTCTGCAACATAACATAAAAAATAGGGGCCATCTATGAGTGAAACATACAGCCACCACCTTACTAAAAAGAAATAGTATCTTCACTCACCTTCACCGAACGAATAAATGAAATCGCCGTCGGTGACGGGGGCGTGTAAAGGACACCAAATGCCTCTTGATTGCAAAATGGACAGCTACAAATTATTGGAAACGAAAACCCATCCAGTTAGCAAAAAGCTCCAAACAAACGGCAACAAATAATGTCACACACGATATGGGTTTTTGTGGAGGTCGTATCTGTAGATAACACTCGGAACAAATGGGTTTGTTGCAACAGCTCGACATGTTTAGAATCTCTGGATAAAACTAAATGGCGTAACGACAACAAAGTCAGTCATAACTCAACTCTTTTTCTCTCTCTTTCTCTCTTTTTCTCTCTCTCTCTTTCTCTCTCCTCACCATAAAACAAATTGGACATTCAAGTGAAAAATCCCCCTCTTTTGTCTCTTTTCCCGGGATACGGGGTGCCAATTTACGCTCAAGAATAAGTCGTCGAGCCATTTTAAGTTCCCATGGACAACTTCCATACAATCTGTCAATAGATAAAGAATAACAAAGAGTCTATAAGTTCTTCAATACGGGTTACAATAAAGTAGAGAGTTATATATACAAACGTACCCTGTTGGTCGTGTATACTTTTCAAGCTCACGTGTTGCGGCAGAGTGACGTCGACTGGTTTTTTTAGACGTGGAATTTCCCATCACCTTTTGGTTTTTCACTTTTTTCTTTTTCTCTTTTGACGAGTGAGCTCAAAGTTAGAGAATGCATTTTCTAAACGCATGCGTAAAACCAGGCGTGTCGGATTATTTGATGGAAAAGCTTTTTCTGACTTTTTTTAAATGAGATTACTGCTTTAGACAGATGTATAGACAGATGTATTAGGAAGGTAACTGATACAAGTAAAAAAGGAGGAAGTGGTAGAGTAGGGTATTAGTTCTTGCAATTGATGGCTAGCTTGTCACATATCCGTTTACCATAAAAACCTCAAGTATTTCCACATTTTTATGACGCAAAAGCTGACAATGGAAAACCTTTCATTACATATGTAACTTTTTTGACACTCTGCATTGCACTCGAGTGTGTGACGCCACTTCATGCTGCAACCAACGACATTGTAGTTACAAAACAGTGCAAATAAAAAGTGTATCCATAAAGGAAATTGCCACTAAAAATGGCTTATCCAAATACATATACAGCTGACGGTATCCTCCTACTCTTTTTTTATGAGACCACACAAAATCTTTGATACCGACTTTCGATTGTTTTAAACAAATATAATCACAATGTATCAATTCTTTGTAGTTGCATGGTATGAGATTGACTTTACGTTACTTTTTCCAGTTATGGCATTGATTGACTCACTAGACGAAATGTAAAAAAGTAAAATGCATTTTCTTTTTGCATTGAGAAGTTTGACCGTTGCAGTTCAATGTGACGGCGATAAAGAAACGAGAGCAAGTTGACTTTTACCATCGTCGCCCGTTTTCATAAAGAGCATATAATAATACACTAAAAAACTACTTAATGTGTCGATACTGTTGCTTACAATGTCGTCTTTGACATAAGGTACAAATCCCACAGTACCGACGTGAGACCGAGATGTACCATACAGTATCTACGATACGTGCTAAGAGGATTTCCATACAAAATATATTTGTCATTAAACTTACAAGTCAAACGCAGCGAGGTCGGTGCTGGATTTGTCGTGCGTTACTGTGGTGTTGAAGATACAGTCTCTGCCTTTGCATTGACAGTCGTTGAGGTCGCAGCGGCATTTGAAATGGTTGTCGTAGAGCTCGTCGTCGTTGTATCTGAAAAGTTACTCGACTTTTTTGTGCTCACTGAGGCTGAAGACGCCTTCGTTGCTGTGGATGGAGTGTGTGTGATTTCTGTTGATTTTGTTGATGTCGCCATTGAGGCAGCCGTCGCCGTGCTTTGAGACGTTGTTGTTGACGTTGACGATGCTTTCGTCGACACGTTCGACACCGTCGTGCCGGTTGGAGGCGATATTGATGCTGTAGCTAGAAGTGATAATGTGTGCGAGCGGTTTGTTGCTGCTGACGTCGTAGACGACGTTTCGTTTGAGGCAACGACTGCGGTGCTCGTAGTGTTTGCATCCGTTGCTATCGATGTGGTTGTTGCAGTGTTCGTTCTATACGAAGGCGTCGTCGCCAAGCTCGTGCGACTGGATCCCTGGTTCGTCATGTGTCCACACAGCATTGTGTAATTCTGTCCTGTGCAAGTGGCGTCTCTCAAGAATTGAGTCGTGCACGGTGTCTGAGCGTACAAGGGCTGACTACTTTGGCCCACACCATCTTTCGCCACGAGATTCTTGATTGAAATGTTCTTCGCTGCCAAGTCGGTCAGCATCGTACGCACGTTAATCGCTCTGTTCGTGCATCCACCACAGTGATGAATCGCAACCACCAAGTTATCGCTAGAAGCGATCAGTGGTGACCCCGATGAACCTACTTTCGTATCTGCGTCGTGCCCCACCTGTTTCGCTCCGCATGCTCCATCTTCACCGACACTGTGAATCGTTGAGCTGTCTCCACCATCGACAGTGCTCACAATGCGCTTTGCAAAGCCATCCGCGTGCTGCGGCACGTAAATCGACTCGTTCACTACCGGTCCAGACTCACGTAACTGGAGATACCCGTACGGCGAGAGATCAACGCAGGTCGGTAGTTGTACTATCGCATAATCGATATCGGTGCTGCCAGCGATATATGTCGAAGTCGTCGCCACGAGTTTTCCAGGACAACCAAGTCGCTCCTCGCACAGGTCACTGCATGACGAGCTCTCAGCAACGAACTCGATGTCTGTAGAGAGCGCCCAGTCTTCTTGCTCGAAGCAGTGTCGATTCGTGAATAGATGCCCTTCGCTACCTCCAAGCCAACCTGTGCACAGATAAGTGCCATTGATCAGTATACGAGCGATAGCTTGAGACTTCTGATAGGCTTGAGGCAGTGTGTCGGACAAATAGGAGCCTGGGCCGTAGCATTTGGCAGGCAAGGACTGGTCTCCGTCACCACAGAGCGTTTCGTGGCGCATGGTCGGGTATCCACGGGAAAATCCCGTCATGCGGTACCCTTGACTTGTAGTAGCGACCCCGACGGATTTGTAAGTAACTGTGACGGAGTTGCCCGGGATGAAGCTGGCGATGAATGTTCCACTCTGATCACGTCCTCGACCGGTGTAGGTGTGTGAGATGGTAGAGCTGAGGTTAACGGAGCTGATCACCACGGAATCTCCATCCGGCAGATTAAATCCGGCAAAGTGGACGGCAATGTACGAGGCAAACTCGTACGAGATTATATCTTCTCGAGAAGCGCCAGCGGTGACGTCGATATGGAAAGGCTCAGTCGTACCGACAATGGCAATGCCTTTGTCGGTGTATTCGATTCCCGTCACTACATGAAGCGACACGAAAATGGCAAAAAATAGTTTGAGTAGCGTCATCGCTGGTATAGCGAAAGTGGCACAAGTTGTGCGTTTCTGGCAACAAATTGTAAAGTGATGAAGCATGAAGTACACCCTTCCTAATCTACGTACTGGTGCGAGCAGAGGTGGTGGACAACTCGACCAAATTACTGGCTGGATCGATGCTGCTTGGAATCGCTGTCCGACTCAGTCTTGAACGGATGTAAGGACAGTGCTGCTTCCTCAATCAACAAAATCGTCTAATCTTGTCGGACGCATCGAAGGTCGTCGATAGTTTCGAATATAGCGACAACGCGTCGTTTTCTTTCCCTCATGCAATCACAGTATCTCGCCATCTGCATGATGCACCCGTTCCGTGCAATTTGCAACCGCTGAATGTTGGCACAGTGCAACGTATGGACTTGCAGTGAGGTCAATCGACTTTCGCTCAATTCCAAGACGAGAAATTTCTGATCAACAATCGAGACGCATCGATACCACGGAGGCTGCGTCTCTGAAAAGTGTATCACCTGACAAGATTATCTGCAATGGTTGGTGGACGCGCCGATCAAATTGGCTTAGAAACGTCTGAAGACGAAGAGTATCACGAAAAAAGACCCGTCGACAAGCAGTTGATTTTTTGACACTCTGCGACGTCTACAATGTCAGATCAACGCGTTTTGCTTAACATGTGCCCACGGTATTTCAACATTTCATTGACGCCATCGAACTCAATTGCCCCTGCAATCGTCAGCTTCAGCTGTAGTGGAAACACAGGGACAGTATTGGCGTGGTTGCTATTACAAATTACCGTGTCGACAATGGTTTAATATATGTCTTTACTCGAGACACTCATGAGGAGTGAGTGGTTCATGCTGCTGCAGGACTTTACCATACTGTCGTACCAGCGGGAGGACAAGACGATGAGACGAACGATCAAGATGCAACAGGTAACAAGAATATAGAGCCTGCATTCATCAGCTCCACATGGATTTATGTATTGGAAATCTTATCATACCACTACCCAATGAAGCCTGGACACAAGCGCCCTGGAAGTTTCTTAGACTTGACATTCAATCCTTGTCGCCGCGTGACAGACTTTATTAGTCTTTCATCTCAGAGCGACTCCCAACGTTACTAGATTATCCACAATGAGTGTATTTGAATTACTCACAACGACATCGCATCTTTTTACCAGGCCCTCTGTTTGATGTGCCGCCATGTAGGCAAACCATTCACAGCTTTACGACCAAGACTCATTCATTTTGCTATCTCCTGAACCTACCCAGGTAATATTTTATCTACTGCAAAGAAACTTGATTGCGCCTGAATGGAAATTCTACAAGTCAGGAACGCAACTGAATAGCCAGCAAAAGCCATTGTCACGCTAATGTAAGGATGTGAGCTATTCTTTTCGTGTCGATGCCTCAAACGCCAATTCAGTATGCCTCGATGCATGAACATTCAAGTGACAACAGTCCGGAACTTCATGTGGAGTGCTTTTGCCAGCGTGATCTATGGGCGATTGATACACTACCAAGATCGAAGACGCTGTTACTAGAACCACCTGTGAGAAGAATGACTGGAGATACTCTCATCGTTCTTTTCACCCGTTTATTTGTCTATCACTTTCCCGATGCTTTCTTCGACCCCACGACCCCTACTTACGAATGAAAGTGAAGGTGGCCAAGTACCATTATATTCAACGAAGCCGAGCAATGCAAAGACGCATTGCTGCTGACCTGAAAACCGCGGCAACTTGCATTAAGTGCAAAGTGCATTGCCCTAGTAGAAACTGCTGTGGCGTCGTCCTTATGGATAAAAGTGAATAAATGGGGAAGGACTCGAGAAGAGGTGTTTGATTACTTCAAACATTGCAAAATGTGGGAGTCTCGCTTCCTGCAGCACCGTTTATTACGTCATGGATGTGTCCAGTACTCAAGCATAGCCACTCTACTTTGCGAGACGAAGGATATGATTGCATTTTGTACCTGTTAATCAAGCAAGTGGGAGAATCACTGGCAAAAGACAACGATAATTGTTAAGGATAGCGGTGTGCTGTTTTATGACTTTGATTGTGCCACATGCTTTTGTGCACGCCAGGCACTCGCTGATGTAAAGGCGTATGCATTAAAAATCGAGATGATGGCCGAGAAACAGGGTTTTCATTATTGTTTGAAGCACAAGTTCGGTGTTGAGATTACTAGCAAGCCCAGGAAACGTACAATCGCAAAAAGACCTCGGCCGATTAGTACACACGGAGAGTTAACGGTTGAGCTCATGAACGTTGGGAAGCACAGACGTGTTTGTTTTCAAAACTGCAGTCTCGGCCCAACCTTCTACTTTTTCGTAAGTGAATCGACCGAGTCTCTCTCCGTTTCATTCAATGAGTCGATACTTTTGTCCATTGTTGGACGACGTAAAAATCGTCGGAGGCTTCAGCACTACTAGGAGCCTATCTTCGTATGGTCTCGACGATGATCGCGGTACTCGACGACTTATCTTTTTTGTCATCAAATCATTGGTAATAACATCAGCGGTAGGTCATCATCGAACTTTTCTCTCTTTGATCTACCTCAACGCCTTCAAAATTGAATTGTTGGGTGTCAAAGGGTTAGAAATATCATCATCATCTGCTTCTTTTGTTGTTCTTGCTCGTCAAATGCCTCCTCCTCGTCAGTATAAGTCTGCACTGTGCTGTCTACAGACTCTTCGGCTTCTGCTAACAAGCTCGAGTCCTCATCGTCCTCTTCGGTAAACGTCACGGTATCCGTGCCTAAACGCTCTGCGGAGATAAGGCCTGAAGGCGATATACAGGGTTCGTTAAGTGCAGCGATTCCGTCGCATCTCATATTATGCGATCAGGTCAGGCAGCGAATGCGTGTGGGTGGCTCCCTCCGGAAGGATGTCAAGTCGTTGGATCTGCAGTATCATCTCTTCATGGAGGAAAGTTTCTACGCGCAGTGTTTGTACCGTCCGCACAATAAAGCAAGAAGACAAAAAAGCATAACGGCAATCCGTCAGTTGCTGCAAGTCCTCACCGAAAACGTGCGATATCAGCAGAGCTCCCAGCTTTAGACCCCACGCCAACGGTGCGCGTACACAATTGCTTAGGGCCATATCAAACGTCATGCAGTACCACAAGATGGTCGAGTGTGGCTACAGTACACAGCCTTTCGTTGCTAACAACGGCATGTTAACTCGGCAGCGGCTGTAGTCAAGTGCTCAAAGCACCTCAAGATAACGAGATAGACAGCTTTGTTTAATATAACGTCATATCGAATCAATAAGCGACAGCTTCTTCCTACGATGCTTTTTTTTGTTTTACCTCATCCTTGCTGACGAAGTGACAGGTACCGCCAGCTTATCGGGGATACATGGCAAAAAAATGACTGACGATAACAACCAAGACGTATCGGTCAATTTGCTGCTCTAAACGAACACCCCAGTCGAATTTTAAGCTGATTTATGCTCCCAATACACTCATCAAAGAGTTGAAAGCGCAAACCCATCACAAACAACTGCAGTTCATACATGATCACGTGTATAGATTCATATAATCATCATGAGCCCGTTTGACGGCCATTCTATTAACCGATGAAATCTTGGCTACCACATGATCCTCTGTTGCTTCAGATGGACCCTTTTGGTTGTAGCCGGAACACTAAACACATGCGTAGTAACGTCATCGACTCAATGTGTTTTTCGGTCCAAATTGTTCTGTCGCGATTCTTGGCAAAGAAACAGCGAACGAAGCTGATCGTCGAATTACAAGCACGAATGGAAACAAAAGTTTGCACGGACAGACTCCGGTCAGTTGAATATTTGCCAGGCAATGGACCCTTCTGATTCAGTTGCCGAGATATTCGACGTCACTCCCGTGCGACCTCGTCCCGTGCTCGCCCCTCGAGTGCCAGCAATTACAGCCCTTGCCACTGCAAGACGTGCGCCAAAGAGACGTAAAAAGCTCAAATGGCGGGCACGTGACGTACAGGCCTCGCTAGAGTACAACTTAAACCTAGACGTGATGAACCTTCACCAGGAAATCCAACGTTTGATGGAGTACCAGCAGATACTGCAGGCACGGACTATCAATCGTCGTGATGACTTAGATGGTTACTACGTTAAGGCGATAATGGAGTACCACCGTGTGTTCGAAAACGGGTACCACCCGGGGGCTACAATTGACGGAACGCAATTCGTCTTGCAAGTCATGGACGAGAATATTACCATTGGTCGCTTTGCTGGACGTGCAGTATTATTCCATCAGTGGGAACAGTACACGAAAGCACTTTCTGGACTCGAACTTCGTTATTTGCACTCGCGTGTTGCATCCGGGGAAGAACAAACGATTGTGACATCGTACGCCAGCTGTAGATGCGTTATCACCCAGGACACCCTGGACGTGATGTTCCCGAATGTGATGCGTCAACATCCGAACATTGCGGCAAAGATGCTAGGGCGGGTATTCAATGGTACAGGCCAGTTTGCCTTCACGTTCGATACTCAGACGCATTACGTCGTTTCATTAGACTTTGAAATTGACTTTCTCGAGGTGTTTGCGCACCTGCTTCGAAACCCGAGAGAGCTATGTGCTATGTTTCAAGGCGCTAGAATTACGGAGGAGTTTCTGATTGGCGACGTGACTTCTTACCAGGAACGGAGGCCACACTATGAAGAAAACGTTGGCCCTACGGTAACAGAAGTCGAAGAAAAGGAGGAGGAGTCTAGAAGTGGTTTGAGTTTAGAAGAAACGTGGCACTGGGGCAACGAAAACAAAGAGCGACGATAGCCATTATAGCGGACGAGGACTTGATTGTCGAGAAGCTACAAATGTAGTTAAAATTGTAATGTGGGGACCATTTTTCGACTTTATTCATTTCGTTTTGTAATATTCTGAAATTGAACCATGGATATTATCCGTTGATGGTCATTTTTGCAAAAATCCAAAACGAAAAAATATGAAAAGGTAGTAGCTTATTAGGGTAGGGTTTGCAATATTTGGAAGAGCGGTAATATAATCAGCTGGCGAAATTATGATATGATCGTGACCAAGATGGTCCCAAATGAAATAAAAAAGGAAAAACATGAAGGTGTAAAGTGCATATAACGATATCAGACCCAATGATAAACTTCATTGAGTCACATCTCCTTCTGGGCTCATGCAACCATGGCGAAATCCCATATTATATCAGCTATATCACCGATGAGGTGATGGACCGAGATGTGATGGACTGACCGTGTTTGCAGCAGTGACAGAAAAGGTCATGCTAGCTAAATATGCCTAATGGGTTCACTAGCACCAGAAAATGTGATCATGAAATCTCAACATCCCATTGTTGGCTCAGTAGCGCACTTGTCCTTTAGATTGCAGCGCTCCTACACCTCAACGTCTAACGCGTTAGTCATACCGTTGGATATAGAGCTTCTTACCAAATAGCTGGTTCCTTGACGTTCCAGTGGCGTCCGTGGTGTAATGCCCTTCATATTGTAGTATTGCAATAGCTGTGTTGGAATTTCTGCTAACGTTTCCTGGAAATGATCAAAGTGTAGAGCAGATTAGCCAGACCACTTTTCGTACCAATCGCGTAAAGAGTCATACCGTGGCTAGTCGTGCGGGGTTACGACGAAACTGATTGAAAGGGACAAATTGAACACTGCAAGGAAAGAGGCATCAGCAAGGAAGTCGTCACGCCAGTCAACAGATAGGAAAAAACAGCGTACTCAACGTACATATCTCGCGCAGCCTTTTGTCTCCTAGAGTCGACCAACAGCTTGCCATCAGCATCTAGAGCATCCATGGCGGTAAAGTCCGCGTTGCCCACTGCGACAATCACGATAGACAATGGAAGAATCGAAGCCTGCACTAGCTCGTCAATCGTCTGTTGCATGTCCATAATGGCTCCATCTGTGATAATGAGCAGCACAAAGTACTTGAGATTACCACCAGCACCTTGCTCTGCAGGCGCTGAAAACGTTCTTGCAATAGCTGCAGCTTGGCGTACTAAAGGCGCGAACATTGTCGGGCCATGAAGTTGTACGAACTGAAACGAATTCAAGTATGCACTCAAAATTCCTTCAACGCCTTCGACTTCGGGCTGTGAGGAATCAAATGTCAACGGGAAGCAGTGGTTTACGGCCCCATTGACCAATCCACCAAAGCCATATACTGGGAAGCGCTTATCAGAATCGTAAGACTCCAAAATCGCTCCGGTCGCAGATATTGCAGCCTGGTAATCGTTCGCTTGACCGTGGTAACTTGCTCCGGTGTAATGCAGACTTGCGGGGTCCGAAGGGCTACCATTCGAAGCCGTGTAATCGATACCAACGATCAAGCTGATCTCACAACCACCGCGCAGATACTCTGCAAATGTACGCCGCTTAAAGTATTCGATCTGTTCAAGAACCAGGACACCTGAATTTTTATACCTTTTGCCCTTTCTTGCTTGTATGTCGCGGTTAATAAGTTCCAGACTGCGAACGTCTCCTGTTACAAATTCTGCAGCCTTTACTGTGCAACTACCGATGAATTGGTGCTTTCCGTTCTTCTCCCAGTCCATGCACTCAATCTTCAGCAACCGTGACAGATTTCCATTGCAAAGAGTCTGAATGCTTAGCGTCGCACGACGCCATTTCGGGTTGCAATTGTTCATAATGACTTCACTACGCCACACCAAAACCCACGACGTGGGCGCGAGTGGATCGGCATTCTCATCGCGCAGCCGATAAATATTGAGGAATGGATCGGAAGCACCAAGCCATCCGTCCTTATTGTCCAACTTAGTTGCAGTAAATCTAACATTGACCATATCAGCACATGTTGAGACTTCTTCAGCGTCTATGACGACGTGGCCAGACAAATTGTACACATGTCCTTTTCCGTTGTCATTTTGCAACAGCTTAAGAACTGCCGACTGACCTTTAGAGGACATCAATTGACCCATCGTGATTTCCACACACCCGAGAAAATCATGGTCCGATAGTCGCTCGGACGCACTGTCCCGGTCAAACACCTCGAATCTCAACCTCTGGATCTCTTCAAAAAAGAAATCTACTTGGAAAGACTTGGCAAAAGTCGGGTCTAGCGTGTTGTTGATTGTCTCCGTGCGTCCAACTTCCCGCCATCCTTTTTTCTGAGCTTCTTGCATGTACAACACAATAAAAGGATCTGATCGACTCAAAAAGTCGGAGTTTTTCAGTCCCTTGCAGCGACAACGAAGCTCCACGACACTCGAAGGGGTAGGAGCCATTCTGTTCGGCATCAACACCGTAGAGCTTGATGACGACGAAAAGCTGCCAGGCTGTACCGGCCCATAGCCGCCATGTAGCGTTGGTTCACGTGCAAAAGGGGCGGGCGGTTGCTGCACTGAGGCAAAGTTTTGACTGGATGGAGGCGTGGAGATGTAATTTTGAAATTGTGACGCGTCGTTTTGCTGTTGTGAGGCGTAATTTTGGCCGTGGTGGGTGAAACTGTCTCTAGGTGGGGCTGTACGCGGTGGAGTATGTTGTCCAATGTCCGGATAGAGATTTGGACCTCTATTCTGCTGCTGTTGCTGCATGTGCGGAAGCTGGAAGAAGCTCTGCCGATTCGGGACGGACACACGATGATCTAGAGGTGGAACTTGAGGTGGTACATGGTAGCTAGAATTGACAGGAGGCGCTGATGGAGACGACAAAGAACGATCTCGTTCGTAAGAACGAGGATGTGAGGACATGGCTGCTAATTCAGAAATGAATGTCTGGAAACGATTTTTTCAATGGGAATTCAAGTGGGTACACTTTAGAGTACATAAAAAAACAAGAATCCAAGAAAAAAAGTAGAACGACTGTCTTCGCTTGACAATTCGGTTTTAACTGTGCTTTGTATCTATTAAATTTGCCATCTGTAGAACACGTTCTATGAATTTTTACGTACATACTGACGTAAAGTGACTATAAATATAGCCTTGATAGCTGTTTCTAACTAGAAATAGTATTTCTAACGATGAGGCAAAACTTGTCAAGTCCACCGAGTTGTAGCAATGTTGCTGGAGCTTACGGATGAGTGCAAACAGCGCATTTGGAGATTTCTAGATGTGCAGGAGATGTGTCGCATGGCGTGTGTAGCTCGCAAAGCCGAGCAAGGAGTTTGTATGGAACTGATATGGCAACAACACTATCGGACGTTGCTGGCCAAGGGACTGGAATTTCTCCAGACCGAATGGCGAATGCTCGGCTGCAGATTACAACGAGGTTTTGCCAATAGGACTTTGTTGGAAGAAATGAAGTCAGATAAAGTGGTAGCAATACAGTATTACGACGAAGATAAAGTAGTAGGTAGACACAATTGATTGGAAACTTTGGTACCGAGATACCCATGTCGTAAGTAGTATGAAATGACAAAATAGTATACTAGACAAGTGAAATATTAATTGCTTGCTTGTAGGTTTTAGTGAGATTTCATACAACCAACACAGGGTACAATCAAGTACTGAGTGCATTACAAGCACTGAAGACGTAACGATCGCAGCTGAAAGAGGCGATGCAAAATATGAAAGCCTCTGCCAATATTGACAAACGGACTCGACGAATTTAAATGAATTGTATTCGATGGATGAATCGGACTCATAGGCGACAAACTGCGATTTCGAATTCGATTCAGGCACAGAGTGCAGCGATGTCTAAGGCCGAGTTGGCTGAGAGGTTACAAGGTGTAGAAAATACGATTCAAGCGACGACAAGAGAACTCTTTCAGCTACGCAAAGGAGCAATAAAGAGCTTGCACAACTTAAACACACAGCTAGCAAACGGCACGAAGATGTTACGGGATCTCGAAGTTCATGGTACGTAACTTCTTGCCATAGTAATGGCTCCTTTTCTTCGACTAACATTTTGCGTGAATGCTGTGTGGACTATTTATGCATGACAAACCATAACATTGGCCAGCGCTTGGCGAGAAGAATGCTCTTTCAAATCACTGAATCAGGATATTGCACAATATAAACTGAGAGCATGAGACCTAACGATCAAATCGCAAATCAACATGCTAAGTTGCAAACACTGTCGACGTGCTGTAATCTCTGGTTAGTTCGCTTGGGGAATTGCCCTGCTTTGTAATTTGCTTAATTGACGTAACTTTAGTGAGCAATTAAGTTTACATGAGGGTCTTCTCATACGAACATCAAGACGGAGTCTTGTGACCCCAATGATTTCGGTGTAGGAAGGTTTCACACACACATAAATAACATTGAGTTTATGTAGACGCAATAGCAGGTTTCACGCTGCAAGACAACGACAGGTTCGTATCAAATTTTCAATTTTTTGCAGCAAAAGTCGCAGTTACATGCCTTGTGAATCTGTCATAGCTGCACCTCTTTCCAGTACAAGCGCAAGGGAAAGAAATGTCGATTACATTCAGATAGATCTGCAATTTCGTGTCACACACTCCACTGATGATGACGTAACAGGAAATGAGCGGATTTGCCTAGCGAGTGCCCGTGCGAGGACGGGCAAATCCCTCTTCTTTAGATTCATCCATGTAGTCTTCTTGCTGCGTGCAAATGCGCAGGATCTCCTTTTTGCTTGACTCCTGCTGGTAGCCTCCAATAAAGAGTTCGTCCAGAATGTAGTACGCCTGTCAATACAAATCTTATAAGCCTCTCACTGCAACCACCAATAACACCACTAGTAGCGCTTGCTATATGTACCTTGTGGAAGTTAAAGATAATGTCCAGCTCGCACACCTGCACAAAAACAAAGAAACCTGTCACCCTCCGTCATAACTTCATATTTCTCATCTAATTTCAGTACATTGCCAAAGTAACGATCCAAAACTTCGACAAACAGGTGAATGGCTTCAAGTGTGATCAGTTCATTCTCATCCTTTGAGATACACGCAATAAAGTAGAGACTCGCGTATCTGCCAGCAGTAATAACGTATCAGACTAACTTCATCTCGTTCTTAGGCTTTAGTCTATCCACGTTACCTCTTGTAAATGATCTTTTTCTCTTTGAATTCAATAAAGTTACACTGTTTGTGAGGACGAGAGAGAACTAGCGACGTGATATCACGGATCAAGCGTGTCTTCTCTTTTAGTGACGCGTTCAGGTACCACTTGGCAAGACGCGTCTTGCCCTGACGGCTTACAAGTAGGACAGACTCAATCTATATACAAAGAGAGATAAGAAAAGGCATAAACACACACACCCATACAGTTAAACAAAGAAGACAGACGACACACAATAGCAGCCTTTTACGTACCATTGTGGAATGATCGGATTTGGTGTATACCCACACTAATTGGTGTGAAATCATTCAATGTGTGCACCACGTCATAAGTTCGAGTGAGAAGCTATTTTTACTCCTGCCAATCAAAAGTCGATTCATCCGTCATGGTCTCGAGGTGGTTCCAGAGAGTCATTAACTTACCTTTGCTAGGAAACAGCTCCTTGTCTTCAATAGAGGTGAGCTTTTCGTGTCAAGTGTTTACGTACATGCAGTAGCAAGTAACAGTCCGACCAATTCGTTTTGTGTGTGACCAGTTTCGACGTTGTATCATGACCGACACAACAGGTCCAGTGGCGCATCGCATTCGTGAAAAGCTACTGACCGCCTTCTCACCGCAGCATCTGGACGTGGTGAACGAAAGTTACATGCACAATGTGCCCAAGGGTTCCGAGACGCACTTCAAGGTGGTGGTGGTGACCGACCAATTCGAAGGTAAGCCATTGATCCAGCGTCATCGCATGGTCAACGCCGTTTTGCAGCAGGAGCTGGACGACGGTGTGCACGCGCTCAGCATCCTCAGCAAGACGCCAAAGCAGTGGGAAGCCAACGCCATGGTCAAGCCCTCGCCTAGTTGTCGTGGCGGCATGGCAGCGGACGAGACGAAAAAGGAGTTTCTGGAGAGTCTGAAGACGAAGAACCAAAGTGAGTAAGTTCCTGCAGCTATTGCGATCAATCGAGACGGCAAAATTAACAGATCAGCAATGTAATTATATCTTGTGCGGAAATCTTGATGGATAGGCCTTGCAAACCTACCGATTGCAACCCATTCTTTGCTGTTTTTAGTACCTAGCGAGACCGATGCTGCAGCATATTGAGCAGGACGGACAGCAAACCGCCCACGACGACACCAAGGATCTCTTCCTTGTGCTTTTCGATCACGAACAGCAAATTCTGCACGGATGTTGGTACCTTCTTCCACGCACCGGAAAGGTAACGACGCGAGACGTGGTGGCCAATTTCATCGGGCACCGAGATGTCATGCGATGCGATGTACTGATAGTGCACGCGCACCACTGCCTCCATCAATGCCTCTTCAATGTCAACTTCTTTCTCCGATCGAGTGATGGAACGCTCATCTTTGTCCGTAATTAGAAGCACCTCGTTGAATCGCGAGTGTAGCTCGTTAGCGATCACCAGGTGCATTGCGTACTTCGAAATTGCCTGCTTAGCTTTCTTTCGGAGAACATCCCAGTCTGTTTCGAGCTTGAACGATACCACAAAGGATTGCGGCGCCCAGTTGTGACGCAATACGCCCAGCATCTTGGGTACTTGCTGCAGCGTCAACTCAAGTGGACCTACTCGTGACTGGATCTTGTGCTCCGGTAAATCAGGCTCCGGTATGTAAAAGTCACTCACTGCTGCTGCCAAGAGGAAAAATGCACGCTCTTTCCAAGGCTTTACACACGTCGCCACCATCCGCAACATGAAAAAATAGTCGTATACAGACGTGAACGGGAGCGTCAGCAGCGTATTGGTCGTATGCACCTTCCTAAGACCATTTACAGCGTCAATCACCTTCTTCTTTGCTGTGGGATCTTCTACCAGGAGACGAATTTGCTGCTCGTGGAAGTTACCATTGCTGGTCGGTACATTTACATGCTGCAGGAACTTGACGTCCAGCGATGAGCATGTCGCTTTCTGCAAGTGTCTAGCAAAGGGGGCAACAGATCCCGGTCGATACACGTAAATCACAGCGTATCCAAGTCCCAATAGATACTCAACAGAAGCGGCGCCCCTTGAGCCCGTGGAAAAGTTGTCTAGGAAGCGCACAGTGTTGCGCTCAAGCGGAACGGTGGTACCTCCAGAGGTCACGACTGCTACACACTTACCCACAACGCGATGATGGTCCAGAAATATCTCAATCTGTTTACGACGCTCATTTGACCATTTGGGCGCCGATGTCTTGCGAAAAAACTCTTCCGTACGGTACTGGTCCTCGTCCAACGTGATCATTAGGAACACAATGAGCTCAATTAGTGATTACTCTGAGCCAAACCTACCTTAAAACATGAAGATTCGTTTAGGCAGATCAAATTGAAGTTGCAACTGTTTATTTGAAAACCGAAAATTTACGATAGTACGGCATAATAATAATAATATCTAGTACTATTTAATTATAGCATTACGTAGTACTATTACGTACAAGGAGTATCATCAACGCCAATCATCGCATCACTACTAAAAAACACGCATACTACAGAAGCATGTAATTTACTGGACGACGCCATTCTTTAATGTCGACATCATATAATTGCTACGATCACAGCAGTCGGGCGCCTGTCAAACGCAACGCTATGTCAGTAGTAACGACTGGAGTGCGTCATGCCTACGAAACCCCTTCGTCTTCCATACATAAAGCCGTATTTGATCGGCTCTTCGGCTCTTTAACTAGCTTGCGATGTCATCCGCTATTAGTGACCATTGTTATGTTATGACATCTCGATGTCTTTGTTCTCCAATTGATCAACTTCTGTAACACCTGCGTAGCTCACTTTTCAGTGTTGTAAACCGAGGGAAGACCATCACTTAAAAAATGTTGTGGTTATGATGTTCGACGTTGACTCAATACGCTTCGCTTCTTCGATCATGTCTACTCCCTTAGCCCTCGCCAAGAAATCTCCACGTTTTGCTACCCAATCGCTATTCACTTGAGCCAGGTCGTATCCGAGGAAAATACAATACGCAATACCGTGAAGGTAGTCAGTCCACTCGCCAAAATGGTCCGAGGCGAAGAGCCGAAGAAGAAGCCACCAAGCAACGCAAACGCACACACAATGATAGCATATGCTCGAGAAGTATTGGGAGGTCTAATGTCTCCCCTGTCGTCATTTGTTGGTTTTATCACGGATGAACGCGATGCGGAGGGATAGAATAGAGGGACCCCAGGCCAGGTTCCTGGCTATTTTCTACAGCGTTCGATCCATCACCATCAGCCTTGAATGCAGCTAAAACATATCAACCTTTTTGGACTTGACAAATCGCCAGCGGAAGTTGGCAGTCGAACTCTACGTCTAGAGTCTCCAGACTAAAGATAGTGAGATAGCTACCTCAGAAATGCGCTTGATACAGGTTATACTTCAATTTGTATTGTACGAGAACATGTTGAGGCTAAAGGTATTGCAAGTGCACATACAGGTCGCGATCAGATCTTCTCGAACCAAGGTAATGTATTTCATTATTTCTACAGCAGACGATTAACTCAGGAACCTTTGAATGAATTGTATTTAACGTTCATCGCTAGATGATATGCAATCCAATGTCACAGCATTCCTTGGTATGTTTTGTTTCATTCTCCGGTCTGGAAATTAACGCAGCAGCATTCCCGATTAGCATTTATCTACCGGTGTGAGCTTCTCTTCAAACGCAGGGTACAGTAACTCTAAGGGCAACGACCCAATTGGTCTCGTTTGTGGTATGGAGATTTATCTCTACATGAATCACCACATACAGACCAAGCATCGAGTCACTTTGCTTCGCAAAAGTCGCGTGAACTGAACACCACGGCGTTTTTCATACGCAAGGATGTGTCACACGGCAACGCCACCTTTGTACTGGTAACTTAGGCTTTGTTACATATAACCACTAAAGCATTTTCAACGATCTCGTAAAGATTTTGAGACAACCTACACCATCATTTAAAGGTTAAGGATCTATGGCTAGAGCAAATAGCAAGTAGCACAGACGTTTGGAAGGGCCGTCAGCAAACTCTTTTCGCGCTGCCGTTTGGAAACGGTTTCTCACGAAGCGTGCAACCGACTGAAAGGGCTCTAAATCGTTTTGTACTAACCAACAGTACTCGCATGCTTCACGTTGAGGACAAATAAGCTGGTCTATCGATTCAGCAGAGGACTCTCTCACATCTCATTTCTCAACGCACCACAAATTGATCATTACACAACTCCAAGCAGATGAAGTTCCTGACACCTCTAGTGCTGACTATCGCGATCGCTGCTGTATCCGCCGCTGACAACTCGTCGAGCGGCTCGCTTTCGATGCCCTCATCATTACCGAGCTCGTCGTCCGGTTCTTCGGGCGACTTTTTTGACTTGGAAAGCGCTAGCGAGGCTTCGGCGGCTTCAGCTGAAAGCTTTTCTGACGACAGCCTTGGTTCATCTGCCTCTGGTGACTCCGGTAGTGTCGACGAAGACGATTCCTTCATGAATGACAGCTCGAGTGGCTCCGACAATTTCCTCATCGAAAATTTCTCGTCATCAGGTGACGACTTTAGCAGTAGTATGTTTGATGCTGATGCTGATGCTGATGCTGAAGAGACTGACACAGCTTCCGCCAGCGCGTCAATGGACTCAGGATCAAGCTCGGGGACTTCCAGTATCCAATTCGCTGCATTTTATACGATTGCAACGGTCTTCATTACCATTGGGACTCTTTTTTAAAATCATAACACCACCACCACCACCATAAACATATACCCTATTGGCACCATTTCGTTTCCTTGTTCCATTGCGTTTGACATGACTACCATTTTCTTCTAATATATTTCAGGCATCTAGATTCATGAATCAGTATCATGTCCAAAGGTGTTTTTCATTGAAATCACTTGCTTGAAACACACTCTACCAGTGTAAATATATATCATGCTGGCCCTTCACGAATTACTTGTCTGCCTTTCGCATGACATTTGGTATCCACTTTACCAGAAACGCTTATACCGGAACGCATCTTTTGTCTTCCGTTTCATCATGTTCAGCCTCATTCAGACCAAAGAAATTCGTTACAAAACGGTTAAGAATCTCGCTGTCCGTTTCATTCTCTCGTTAGTTGCACAAGATTCTTGCTATCCGTGTCAAGTTTTAGTCATTCGCACATTTGCCCTCAAGCATTCACACCTACAAACACTTCAGAAGTCACCGTCACACCAAGATGAAACTATTCACCGCCATCCTCGTTGCTGCTACCATCGCGACTCAAAATGCTGTCATTGCGCAGACAACCACGACTCCTCCTACCGAGATGACTATGACCCCCACTGCCGAGGACGGAACGATGATGACGAATAATTTGATGCAAATGGGCTCCACCAACGGTGACATGAGCACAGACATGAGCGGAGACAGCGACACGCTTGCCGGATCAACTGACAGCGCTACAAGCGAGACAGCAGTCGGATCTGAAAATGGATCTGGAAATGGATCTGGAAAAAGCATGAATGCCGGTGGCAACACAGCCACCACTACCAGCGGAGCCGTCAGCATCCAATCGATCACGCTCACCATGTCGGCTCTTGTGGCTGGTTTGGCTGCTACTTTCGTTTTCTAGGTCCTCATTCAGGACGTTGTCCAAATAGGTTGTACTCAATAAACACGATTAAGCCATTGATATTCGAGATTCCATCGCTGCTGGATGTTTGGTAACGCTTACTTCTTTGCTAGAAAACTGCATTGAGATTGACCGAGGCATGCCAAACGTGTCTCCAAAAAAAAAATGTCAGCCTCCAATATCAGCATCGATAAATTTGAGCTCCCTACGTCATCATTTCTACTAGAATTCACCTTCCTGTTGCTAGGAAGATACAGATGAGATTAACAAGCTTGACAAGGAACCACAGAGAGATCGAATTGACGGAGCTCAGCTTGTAAGCAGAGTCAAACCACAAAGCGTATGCCACGTGACAATATCAAATTGGAGTAGAGATGAGAGGTGTTTAGACTCGCTTGTGAGTTTGTATCCGCGGTAGATTAACTGGATGCGTACTGCCGACTGTTTCACACCTACTCAACCCTGTTCGGGAGCGCTGATGCCGTTTCTATTGACTTGCAAACGACAACCGCGCTTACAGTGCTCATATGTGCTTTTTCTCCTACCTTACAATTTCTACTTGTCTCTGCATTTGAACTATGATACAATGCACTCTAGTCTATCTCCTAGCATCTTGATTGTTTGTTGACAATAAGCAAAGAAGCTGGGCCTAGGCGCTGAAGTTGACCGTCTTCAAGCGTTAAAGGTTTGCATAATACGAAGACAGATCTTTCGAGCAAGATGGTGCTCTACTTGTTTACCTCAAGTTTATTTGTACATTGATGCATGCCACGGAATTTGAATCAGCTAATGACTCCCCCAAGAAGCGTAGATCATTTCGACAAGACAGCCTTCAGACGTTCAGGGTTCATATCAATAACTTCGGTTGAAAGTGGTTTGCCGAATTTGTATGACAAGTATGCCAAGATGGCGAATTGGTGTTACTTAGCTCAACAGATTGAGCTTTCGCCACGGTGTCGCTTGTTCTGGACTTGATCAGCTTGTCGAGTCATTGGTAAATGCAAAGCAGTTTCTACCACAGTGACAGAAGCAGGCTACGGTCAGTGACTTGCTGCTTTTTCAAGCTAAGGCCGGGCGGGTATCGTCCGATTCTCTGTAGCCGCCTAGTCTCGCATACAAATACCAGACATCAGACACAACTAGTCTAAGCAGCATAACTTGATCACAAGTACTTGTTCAAGTGATGTTTGGAAAGTAAGTTATTGGCTTCACCACGATAAATCGCAAACAAGAGATACGTGATCCGACGGAAACGTAGACGACGGCAGCGCAAGCTCGTGGGTTGCTTCCTCCTCGGTAAAAAGTGGAAATGTGTCACGAACTTGTAGCACCTTCGATCCAACCAGAATGTAATCTAGCGTGTCCACAAAGGTCATTACATAATTCGTAAATGCTGGAATACCGCACGCGCTTACTAGCTGAAGATCATGCTCGAACCGATCTGAATGGACCTGAGCAGCGTTAGCTACGCGCTTATTTACGTCATTTTCGTCGACCTGGGACACATTCCACTGAAACGACGGAGCTTGCTGCCAGTGACTGTGACTGGAATCAATCTGACCATCTAAGAGGAAAGCAATTAACGCTGTCCTAGGGTGCGCGTTCCAGTCTCCACACATGACGATAGCAGCATTTTCGAATCCAGGTGCAGCTTTTCGTTTGCTTATACACTCTACGACCGCAGCACCTTGCAACAGCCGGATCAAATGCGCATCTCCTCGGTAGAAGAGATGCGTATTTGACAAAATGATAACCCGTGCTGGGTCGACCTTCGAACGTAAGACGAGAATCTGAGCAATAGACGGAATCCGGTTAATGCCCTTGGCAATTTCAGGAAAAGCCTGCATAAGGTGTTGTGAGGCTGGATTCGTCGAGTTTTTGACTACCGTAGCAAGGTTCACAGCCACTTCTTCAGCCACGTTGAAGCGGGCTGTCCTAAAAAATGTTGCGCAACCTTCGTTTGTTGTGCCCGTTTTGCCCGAATAAAATCCGCAGTAGCCGATCAAGGTCAGCATCGGTTCAAAAAAACTCTTATACACGGTCTCTCCCATTTCCTGTAGACAGACAATGTCGCTGTTATTTTCTTCAATCTCTTGGAGAATAAGTTGAATCCGACGCGTCTCCTTCATGACGCTAGCATCCACATACGAGAACAAGTTTTTCTGTGCATGTTCAGTGGTTGCATAGCCATCATAAAGCACATTGTAGCTCATCACTCGAAACGCATCCACCGCATCAGGATACTTTTCAGCGGCAGAAATAGCGCCCATCCGTCTTCGTTCCTTGAACACGTCTCGATTCGGTCCAGACTCGACTGGCATTGTCACTACTTCAGTATTGCTATCTTGTGCAAACTCTGACTTCATCGTCGGTGCTTGACACTTTACACAGAACCTACACCCAATCTCGTCCTCCGTCGGCATATATCTCCTTTCAGTCGATACCAACGTCTGTGACGTCTCATCTTCTTTATCCAGACGAAACCACTGCCACGAGCATTCCTCAGCAGTGCAAAACTCTGTCTTAGGTAAAGGATAAACTCCAATTCCAGCCATTACTGGCTCCAGTACTTTGAGACTCGTGACAATTGGCTGGTTGTGCAGTACCACAAAGATCTCTTCTCCAATCTCGAGCCTCTTGGCGCGCATCAATGCGTCACCCACTTTCAAGACCTTTTCATTCATCTCCTGATCGTAATTATCATAGAATTTGACGGAAACTGTAGGCGCTACGCTGTCTTTCACTCCATTCTTACGTCTCTTCTTTTGTGTTGACACATTAGACGCTAATAGCTGCAAACGGTATCGCACGCGGTCCAATTTTTCGGATATTGGACGAAAAAAGACCTTGCGATCATCATGCAGACATAATTGAAGCGTCAGATGCGACGCGCCAGGCAAAAAACTCACATGAGCGACACGCACATTGGAGATGTCGCTAGTGCTTGCCATTATTGCATGAAAAGCTCAACTGTCAGCGGATTGGCTGTAAAGCTATAATAATGTCGTCCAATTACCGTATAGAGAGTTTTGTCCAATGATAAATCGGAATGAAGGACACAAAGCAGACCGATGAATATGGCGTCAGTCAAGTACGTAGTGAACAGCTCATTCATGGGTCTATTGTCGCCTTTGTAATGCGTAACTACTAGTAGCAATGAAACCAGCAGATAGAGATGGATCTCGTGCTACTAACGCACCCTTTTTCACTCATTTATGTAGAGAATTGACACTGTAGAAGTGATGACAAAACCGGCACTAATCGATTTCTTGTCGTTTTCTTGAGCAGAAACTGCGTTGTCGTCATTGATGGAGCCAACGTCGCGTGTCAAAAAGACGGTAAAGCGCACATTTCGAAGCTCGCAGCTGCGGTTCAATTCTTTCAGTCACTGGAATTGATGAAGGGGCGTTACCCCGTCAAGTGTGTAGCATTCGTACCCAACTTTTGGCTCCATGTGAAGCCTTTGCCTGATACTGCCGGCCTCAGAGAGAATGAAGCCATGGATAAAAATGACTGGATGCTGCTTAATGAGCTTGTACATAAGGATTACGTGGTCCTCACGCCGTCGCAATCCCACGACGACTTTTACGTCATCGACTATGCTGTCAAGTACGACGGGTTTATCGTTACGAACGACATGTTTCGCGATCACGTAGCGAATAAGGTGAGACGAAGGTGTAGATGTTTGACATGCTGGTGATTTTGGTGACTCGTGCTGACGTTGGACTTGTGGTTTATGTTCTTTGTACCTAAGCGATCATTTCATGGCAAGAAGTTGACGAGCAAGTGGGTACGCTCACACTGCATCGACTTTACTTTTGTTGGAACGGAGTTCATGCCGAATCCACGTGCAATGGAGCGCGTGTTCTCTTTTCAGCCGTCGGTAATTGAGCCGACGGCTTCTGCTCCGTCCCTTGCGTCAACAAGCACAACAGCTTTACCGAGTACGAGTTTACAGAAGACACATTTGAATGATGAGAATGGCCAAGACAGCACTGACGTCGACGTAGATGAGGATGAGATGGTAGTGGATCATGCAGGCACGAAACGGAGCAAGAACATAGATCTCTCGGAGGTGACGTACTACAAGGTGCCACGCCAGCTGCTGCCAATGCTGCACGGGCAAAATGGAGAAACGATGGAGAAGTTCCAGGAGTACACGGGGACTTACATTGTTCTACCTTCTCACGCAGTACTGGAAACTTCTCTGGCAAGGTCGACGTCAGACGTACTGACATTGTCAATTTATGGGTAAGTCGATCAGAGGAATGGCAAGAGATAACGATTGATCCTTAATCTTTTGGTATGGATTTGATTTGTGAAGACCGGAAGCAAGTCGGCAGCAGGCTGTGGGTCACTTGGACGCATTTCTCCTCGAAATGCAACAAAAGCACTCTTCTCACCAGTGGCAGCAACATATGCCATACCAAGCCTATCAATATCAGACAGTAAGTTATCCCCAACATGTAGCAGCCGAGGGGAATATGCCACCACAAGACGACCAAACGATGGAGATTGATCCCTACTAGTATCAAAAAACAAAAACGACAAGTTGTACAAGACAGAAATGCTGCGTTGCCCTCTAAATTATTTCCATTCTCGCTTGTAAGCTTCATTATCTATCTCGCCAAATTTTTTTTCGTCCTGTTGCATCGACGATATGTTAGAAGTCAAAGCCGACAAAGATACTACAAGCACAACACACTGAGACGCACCCGCGATTCTTCTTTCCATCCTTGAGCATCCGTCTCCTTCCTCCGCTTTCCTCCTTTCTGAAACGACCGCCAATTACCAACGCGTTGCTCTCGACGGTCCGTTTCTGCCCATGAGCGCTCTCGCTTGAACATATTCACGACCTTTACGTGTGCTTTTTCTTCCTGCTCTGTCTCACGCCGCCGCTGAGCAGCGTCGCGCTTCTCGATATTCAAACGGCGATTTTCAATCTCCGCAAATGCGCGTAGTACGGCCTTGTCCACAGCATCCTTAAGACCACCAAGTTCACTTTCTTTAATACCTTTTTTAATCTTTTGGCGACGTTCCTTGGTGACTGCCAGTGTTGCATTTTCGATCGTGCGAATGCATGTCTTACGCCGGTCTTCTTGTATAATCAGGTTGTATGCCTTCGTTATTTCTACATTAGCAACGACCCACGGTTTAGGTTGACGTTGAAATAACACCATCTTCGTGTAAAACCATTACTTACCTTCAAAAGCTTCGCGGGCCTTGGGGTTGCGACACTTGTCTGGATGCACCATCGTCGAAATCTGTGCAGTGCGCCAAAGGTCAGTAAATCAACTTGATGCAGTCTATGCATCAGCGTGCCAAGTCTCTACCTTGCGATAATGCTGCTTCATATCCTCCTCCGTCGCGTCTACATCCAACATGAGCACTCTGAATGGATTCAAGTTGATCCAGTGAAAGTGTGGCTGCAGCAATCGCTCAATCTGTCCGTCAGACGTGCCAAAATCCACTACTTTCTTCTCTTTCTTAGCTTCCTCCTCCTCTTTGTCCTTCTTGATGCAATTAGCATTTTCCTCAAGCTCCTGCACCTCGGACAAGAATTCATCCAGCAGTGCATCTTCTGCTTTTGGCTCATTCTTCTTCTCCTGTTCTTTCTCTTCTTGTTCTTTCTTCTGCAACTTTTGCTCCTGTTCCTCTGCTTGTCTCTTCTCCATCTCTTGTCTCAATCTCTGTTCCTCTCTCAACCTCTTGCTATACTCCAGACCAGCCGTATACGCCTCTTCCGATGCCTGTAAGAGCGACAAATTATCCGGATCCAGACACAATCCCTGCTTATACGTCACTCGAGCGGCATCAAATCGATGTAGCGCATGTTCTGCTGCACCTTTTCGACTATATCCTTTCCACCAATCAGGCTTTAGCTCAATACATTTCTCGGCATCCTTTAAAGCTTTACCCCGTGCGTCTCCCATGGCCAAATACGCCGCTGATCGATTGCTATAGTACACGGCATTCTCTGGATCTAACTCAATAGCACGTGTATACATCTCCACTGCATCCTTGTACTGCTTGGCTGCTACCAAGTTGTTCCCTTCTGCTTTAAAGCTCTCGGCCTGCGCCGCCCACTCTTCCATTGTATGAAGGAAATGATGTGGTTTACGTCAAATTGGAGGTCGGGTGAAATTTAAAAGTGGATTTTATCCATACAACCCAATTTCATTCATACTGTACAGACCCATCCCATAAAAAAACGCCATCTCGTATTTTACACAAAAATACGAGATGGCGTTTTTTACCGTTTTGTGTAAACCACAAAACGGTAAAATACAGAATTATAAACATATTGTGTAGCCATGTCACGGACAAAGGTGATGTTACCGTAGTACGTGTCCAAGTGGTGCAATATCGACGCGTATTCTAATGATCTCTGGCTTTTTTATATCCTATATATACAGGAAGCTGTGGTAATTTTACTGGATGTAGGCGTCTCGATGCGCTTGCCGCTGCATGAACGCATGAGTTTCAATGAGAAGAACCGATTCGATCGAGACGATGAAGTGCAGCACACGCGCTTTGCTGCAGCTGTTGCTGCCGTTGAAAATGTCATTCAGCAAAAGGTTATTACAGTCGTAAATTATACGTGAAATGCAGGAAGATTTGGTGCTAAATTGCTGATAAATTATGATACAAAATAGCTCTTTTTCCAGCCAAAGGATGAAGTGGGAATTGTCGTCTACGGCTCCGAAGGTTGATAGCTGTTTCCAATACAATTGATACGATACATATGATAGATTAACTCTTGTTTGTTATGTGGTATTAGATACAGATAATCAGTTGAATGAAGAGCAAGACGAGGAACAGTATCGGAATGTGAAGGTGGTGAACTCTATCGACACTCCGACACTGCAAATGGTCAAGCGACTGAGAGAGTTGAAACCGTCACAGAGTGAGGAGACGAAGGAATGTCTATTGTATCAATTGATGGAACTGTGTCCATTCCACTGTACTGATCGTATTGTTGCAATGCAGGTGGATATCTTGGATGGGTTGATTGTGGCACTGGACTTGCTGTTTCGACGAACTGACGGGAAAAAATACAACAAACGGTTGATGGTCATTACTGACGCAGCTGCAAAGATTGCCGATGCAGGGGACTTGGAGTCAATTGTCATGATGATTCAGAACATGGAAGTAAAGCTCCAAGTGATGTACGTGTGACAGTAATTGCGGTAGGATGTAGTGAGGTGACTGCTGACATGGATCATTTCGAGATGTCAGCGGGCTGGACTTTCAGCACACGAAGATCAAGGCAGAAGAAGGTAAGCCATTGCATGAGGAGATACCCGAAATGATCGTAAAGGACTAACCGATGACATCATCTGCAGGTGACTCAGCGAGAATCAAGGTAAGACTTTTGATATAGCGGTCAGCTTGTTGATTTGCCTCAATTACTATTTTGTGGATTGGCAGGATGAGAACGAGAAAATGCTTGTGTCAATTGCAAATGAAGTTGGAGGCGAGGTGTGCTCGGTTTCCAAACGTATGCAGCTACTCGCGCAAGGTATGAAAAAAACAGTGGCCTTGACGACGAAATTTCGAGGCTCACTCGAGTTTGGAGATACATTTGGCATCCCGGTGTACTGCTACTTGAAAACTAAAACTGCGACGCTGCCGACCCTATCAAAGGAGTCCCAGAACTCTTACGAAAAGGAGACGGGAGGAAAAGTGAAACTTGACCGGCGGTATACGTCTCCGCAGAATATCGATGAAGAAGTTCCTCCAGACGAGCAAGTAAAAGCTTATCGCTACGGAGCAGAGAAAGTTCCCTTTGCTTCGGCAGATATGGAGTTTTTCAAATTTCGGACCGAGAAATCGCTGAAGGCACTTGGGTTTTTAGATCGGGCACAGATCAATCATGCAAAATTTGTCGCGAATACCGACATCTTCATCGCTGAACCAGGAAAGCCACATGCAGCGACGTGCTTTGCCGCACTAGTTGATGCAATGGTAGAACTTGACCAGGTGATTGTCGCTCGTTTCGTCCCGCGAAAAAATGCTGCTCCTAAAATTGTGTCTTTGATTCCCCACGCGCCATCCTCTGGCAAAGGCGACAATTACTACGCACTGTGGGCCCAGCAATTGCCATACGAAGAGGACATGCGGAACTACGAGTTTGCTCCGTTAAAGACTCGCAAGTACACTCCATCCGAGGAACAGCAATTGCTGGCAGATAAACTTGTGGATAGTTTGAGCATCCGTGACGACAAGGCCGATGAGGTGGGTGCGTGCTTTAACCCAGTGATTCGCCGTTTCTTCCACGCGGTGTCTAAGCGGGCATTGGATGAATCAGCCGGGGTTCCTGCTCTGCCGGCATACATGGAGTCGAGCTTGAAGATGGATCCTGGACGTCAAGAGAAAATATCGACCCTCATCGAAAGCTTTGGCGACGCTTTCCAGCTGAAAGAAGCAGTGAAAAAGGCAAAGGACAAAAAGAAGAAATCGTTTTGGAGCGATGTGCCAACGGCTTCAGTGAAAGAAGAGGACATCAAAGAAGAAAATGAAGATGCGGTTGGTAGAGATGCAGGCTCCGACTTGGAGCTGGACTTGGACGATCTATTGGATAGCGGAGATGTGACCACTGTGGGGTCCATGAACCCCATCGCTGACTTTGAGGTATTGGTCGAGTCCTTCCAGTCGAAAGCGAGTCGTCGTGAACGACTCACGGCAGCAGTCACTGGCATGGAGACACATATTGAGAGGTTCTTGAGCCAGAATGGATCAGAGTTCTTTCCAAAAGCGTTGCAGTGTCTCTCTCACTTTCGCAAACGTAGTCCCGAGATTCAATACTCTGCTCAGTTCAACGAGTTCCTGACCAAGTTAAAGTCGGTCTTATCAGAAAACTCGGATGCTTGGAAGGCCATCAAGGACGCTGGTATCAGCTTACTGACTTCATCGGAAGACCCTAGCGTCGACGTCTCACCTGCTGCAGCTCGCGCCTTCCTCCACGGCGAAGAGGAAGTGGACGTGAATTTGGTCGCCGCTTCGTTGTCCTCGCAGGTGGAGGAGATGGAAAAGGAAGACGATATGTTTGCTGACTTTGAGTAAGCACACGACTGGCAGCAAAGATCAACAAAAGAAGTACGTAATAAGTAGCATCAGTCTGAAGTGGAAAATAAATGGTTCAATGGCACAGTTGTAGACTTCTCCACCAGCTTATGCTGCTCCTGGGAACTCCGCTGCGGGGTCGTAGAATTTTGTGGGTGCCTTCCGTCTGCTCGAGCGACGCACTGCAATGAAGCCATCTTCATCGACAAGTGGTATCTCCGGCTCCGCCTCCTCTAAGATAGCGCCAAGACTCTGATCACTGCGTTCAGCTGGTCCCATGCCGTCATCCTGCGTCTTTACTTTAACAGCCTTCAAGTCAATTGGAAAAAGCGACTGGATCTGCTCGTGCATGGCTTTAATGCGATCGTATTGCGCCTTCTTGCACTCTTCCGCCAATACCGTCAGCAGCTCCGCAAGCTCCTCAATGCTGCCATCCTCACACAAGAGTCCAAATTCCGTCTCGACGTATCCGCCAATATTATCGGCCATCGCATCAGCGTACACCACTTTATTGTACTTGAAGACGTGAAGAATCTCCTCCAGCAGAATTTCGTACTTGCGACGAGTGTCACCGCCGCCCCATTCGCCCTCAACAGCCATACGCAATGCCGTCCAACGAGCTAATGCCAGTTTGACACTATACTCAAAATAACCCCATGGTGACTTGATTGTGCCGGCCGTAAATTGCTCCGAGTGCTCACGAGCGACCGCCAGTAAAATGCTCTCGGTCGCGCTCATTATTACTTTGAATGGTTGACCAGTCCCTAGTAAATTGCTCTTGTCCAATCAAAGACAAGTTCAATCCTGAAGTTCAATACTGAAGTTCAATCCTGAAGTTCAATCCTGAAGTTCAATACTGAAGTTCAATACTGAAGTTCAATACTGAAGTTCAATTCTGAAGTTGCATACAAGTTGTGTGTTTTCAGCACACCACGTCAGAATTTTTATATTGATGGATTGAATTATAGTACACTGGCGTGGGAGCCCCTAGTGGCAGCCTGACGAGACGCCAACGCAAAAGCATCATTTCGACATGCCTTCTATTCAAACACTGATGACGTCGATAACGCCGGCGTGCCAAACTGTCTGTCGAAAGAACCTGTACTGTCACTGGTGTCTCTCAACTCGTTGGCTGCTGAGAACTTGTGTGCCTGCGACACCAACTTCATCGCACGGTCTAACCTTGCATCCAGCATGAGCGTGAGCTCCACGGCTTCACGTGCCGTAGTTTCGGCAATTTCCCGCGCTTCGATCGCAGCGGTAATGAGGTTCTTAGCCTTCTCTATCTGTCTCTCCTGCTCATGTCCGTTCTTGCAAAGTACGCAGACCAGCTCAATGAGTTCCGAAGGTGACGACTGCAGCACTGATAACGGCAACAACGGGTCTGACAGCTCGTCCAACTTTAGCTTTGCCATCTCCAGCTCTGCGGCCGACAAGACACCGTCCATGCCTTGGGCTGGTGCAATGCGCATCTCGGTGGTACGGACAAACTCCCGAAACTGCTCCATCTCGCGTCGCTGATTTTTCTCGCGCTCCTTCATCTGCTCCAGACGCTTTCGCGAACGTCGTGGGTGTAAGAGCTTTTCCAGCGGATTGCCCTCCTCCTTGATACTGGTAGAAATGTTGTAGCTCTCACGGAAGCTGCTAACGCTGCTGCTCGAATGCAAACCGTGCATACTAGCTCGGCTAGTACTACGGCTGACTCTGGGATTTTCCAAATGCTCTGAAACTCGTCGATGTACTTCCCGCTCGCACTCAAACTCCTTTGCCTGTTTGTACATGCTAATCTGCTTCTCCATCGTTTCTATCGTCTTTTGGGTCCTCGCCTGTACCTCCTGCTCAATGGTCTGCTCCATGTCTGCCTGTTTCCTAGATTGTTCTGCTGCTAGCTCCTCAAGCTGTCGAAGACGGAACTGGAATTTTTTGTAATCATCTGCACTAAGGCGCACTACACTAGAATTACCGTGAGAACTCCCGACATTGCTGTTCCGCCATGCATCACCATCTGACTCGTACTCGTCACCTGAATCCTCGTCCTCCATCGCCAAAACCATTTGTTGGAACGCGCGACGTGTCTGCAAAGCAGCAACACTAGCCTCCGTTAACGTTGTAGTATTTGATACCGTTGCCATCTCGGAAAAAACAGTTGCTGAAGTAGGAGACAAATACGATTCATGAGATATTGTAGCGGTGATTTCCGTAGATGACTCGGAAATCCTTGCATTAAGCAAACTATGTGAGCCAGACGATCGTCTGGATCTGTTTGCAACACGACATCCATCCACCAGTGATGTCCTTATGTCACTCATCCGTTCACTCAGCATGGACTCATTAGAACTGGAAGTGGTGCTAGTTGCTCGGAACGCGTCGCTATTGACACGATTCTTGTATGACATGGAGCATTGCAGTTGACGATACTCGGCCAAGCTATTACGATTGCTACACAAAGGAGATTGTCCCGTAGAACCACTGTGTCGACTGTTCCGCATACTAGATCCTCGACTCTGACTCGGTGTCACAACGGATTCTTCCGAAATCTCGGTATCGTTGTCACCACAGGAAAAGTTCTCGTGAAGTGTAGGGCTCGTGCTACGGAGCGTCGAAGACGACGAACGGACAGATGACGATAAGTTAGACGGTGGAGCTTGTAGTACTTTGGTGCTCGTATCGACTGGAGCGGGTATGGACGGCACGACGATCGTCTGTTCAGCTCCTCGACCAAGTTGTTGCGGCTGCCGACGTGGCTTTTTGTCCGAGTGGCTGCTGTTTTGACTCGTGCTGTGATTCAAGACAGCGTCACGGTCAGCGTCTGAAGAGTGATGGTAATAATGTTTACGCAATGAAAAACGATGGGACTTGGACTTGGATATCCGCTCTGATGAACGAGAAAACAACGGCATACGAGTGACAAAATACGACGACCTCAGTACGTACGTAAGAAGTGAACGTCTCACTTAAAATCAAGGGACGGAGGGGGGACGGACGGATGGATGGACGGTACTGCGATGCAGTGAATGATTGCGATTGATCCCAATTTTATAAGGAAAATCGTATTGTAGTAATATACTACCAGAAGGAAGGAAGGAAAAGGGTGTGACAATAATACAGAACCCTTCTTTTTACCTCTTACAAAATGTATATAAGAGCCAAAAACGCAAGAGAGCAATATGGAGAATGACCCTGGAGGCAAGTGAATGAAAGCCACTGGCTTTTTCAAGCACCCGTTTGGCGACTTTCGAACCAATCAACGTACACGAAACAACAGTATTGACCAATCGTCGACTAGAATGAAAGGCGCAACTCGTCAGCGCACTTGTGGTACAGCGACGGGCGATCCTATTGGAGTCGTTTAGACGAGCGTCTCTCGTCACGTAGCGCAATTGCGACTTGTTTGGCGATCAGACCCCCCCCCCCCTCTCTTTAATTTTTCCCGTAATTTAATAATATATGGGATGTTTTTTTAATGCCATGAACAAATTTCATGGTCGAGAATGTACAGATTTCGGCGTAACATGAATGTCGAATGGAGATACTTGATTTTGCGTAATAGCGAGCTCAGAAATGTGTCAGGACGATGCCACCGCAACTTTGTGGTCGTTTCTTTATTTCCTTCCGCCCAAGGTGACGATGTCGTTGTTTAGGTGTAAAAGATGTCCGAGTGTTGAAACGGGGGGATGGAAAAACGAGTTTTTTCTTAACAAATGGATGAGTTATAACAGCGTTTTAGGACTTGATTTAACAGTAAAGAGGGACATTGGAAAATATCCAGCGATGGTCGTTCATAAATGAGACCCTTGCGTATTAGATGAGACAGGTTCCGACTATCTTTTACGAAATTGTTCATTACTGATACTCACCATTCTAAAACTGTCCCATGCAAAATCTATAAATTTTCAAAGACCAATTGCCTTCACACTTCAGCAGGATACGTCCGCGAAATGCTCATGGCTGACACGGCGCAGCTATCACAGACACGCGATGCCTTTTTACTTAAGCTGTACGATAGCGTCCACCGCCGTTTCGAGCAATTACCACAAACGAGCGACCCGCATAATCTGTCCAGAACCAACCGGTTTTTTTTACATAAACAGACGCGTTAGCAACGACACTACGAGAGACCACAACCATCTGTAAACTGGCTCTCTCGCAATCCGTACCTACAATGGTGACGTGGACGATACACTGCAAAAGTGTGCGTGCAGTTGGTACAAACGTTTGAAACCTTATCAAACATAAAGATCGGAGCCAGTGTCGCCGTCTTGAGACTACGACGACGTAAAGCCAGCTCGTCACCCCCTGATATACAATGCCTCAACGCTCGCACCCATTCATCTCTCTCTCCCAACGACAGCGCCTCGAATATGTACGTCGTCTGCACACGCATCGTCTGTAAAAAAAAGACAACTCAGACAGTACAGCGTGAGTAAGAAGCAGAAGCTGAAGGTTGTGATGGCAAGTTGATTTTTTGCCGACTTACCGTGTCAGTTAGATACTGTAGATGAAAGCACGTTTTATTCGTGAGAGGGGCCACCTCGCACAATTCGATGGGAATTGTTTCCTCAGGTTGCGTGATCTTAAACGTGGAGCCCAATGAGATAGTTTGCAGTGTCAGCGTGATCCACAACCTTCGAGATTTTTTGCCAACATTGCTGCTCATACTTGGGCTGGAAGCAGTCGTGCTGCTATCACCAGAACCATTCATCACAGCGCCACCAGAGACGTTTAGCCATCCGTTTTTGATGGCAAAGCCTCCTTCCAGCTCGTAGCCACTAGAGGAATCGTCGTCATTGTCCGTTAGTAGCTCCGAACGAAGGCTAGTGCGACGTGGATGAGTCTTACCACTGAGATTTCGGTCAATGCACTTCAGAATGTCAGTTGTCCATTCGACTTTGTCTTTTTCTGACTGTGTCAGCAAGATAAAAGACTTTAGAGGGGAATAGAAGCAGAAGGCGCTTGAGATTAGCAAGCGAGTTAGTTACAATAAGAGCACGTTAGTAACAGGTTTGCTCAAACCAAAGTAGATATACTCACTTGTTTGAGTTCGTGGCAGTCGTAATGGCACCTGGCATGGTCTCCGTATCATCTGCTACCTTGCACTCCCAAAGATCAAGCAAGTGGAACTTCTTATGAAGACCACCTTGGCGCCCATACACCATAGCTAAACAACATGCACGCAACGATCTGGATCAATGACTGCATATCCCAAAGCGGCATCAATGTGGCTTACTTACCGTCTTCCAGCAGCACGAAGTAGTACATTTGCACCTTACTGCGACACACTTTGCGCAGCATTCCGTCTCGAATAAAGTGTCGGCCAGAGAGATCGATACCTACCTTTTCGCTCACAGTCGCGAGAGTACGCGCGTTCTCACGTATCTCGCTGATCTCCTCGATCTTGTTCGCCACTCGATCCACACTTAGTATTGCTGACTGCAGCGGTACAAAATCTACGTGCTCGGGTGGCGTAGACCCTAAAAGCTCTTGAAGAAGCATTTTGTAACGCGGAATCCGCTCCATGGGCATGTTTAGGTAGCGCCTCAAACGGTTTACGTCTGCCTCGGGTGGCAACTCACGTAGAAATCCAGCAAATTGGGGCGAGTCCAAAGCAGCTAGTGCCGCGCTGTGACGACTTGCATACGAGGTGTACAGTTGCATTAAAGGAGCGTACGCGTGAAAGATGGCTCCGGCCCGATGCACCCGTACTCCAGAAAAATCACGTGCTTTAGCTTCCCGTCGCTTATCGTGGCCACTTTCATTTTGAGATACAAGTAGTGACGTTGTGCTGGTTTCTTCGAGGTGGCGAGACAAATGGTCGAGAAGTTGCTGGTTTAGCGTATAGATTTGATCTACACTGCTGAAAAAGATAGACAGATCAGCGTCCATGACCAGTATCGTGGGTGTTGGGGCTGAAGTCGTCGATAACGACGACGACGCTGCTGCTGCTACACTGTAAGAAGCATTCAGCACTAAGTGCAAGCTGTTGCTGCTGCCACTGCTTCGCTTGAGACTAGCGCCAACGTTGCTGCTACTCGCTGGTCGACGGTGGTCTGCAGTAACTCGAGCAGAAGCAGTCAAGGGACCCCCAAGCACGGGGCGGAGGGATCCCCTGCGTTTGTTTTGGCGACGTCGATGCATTTTCCGGCCTTCAAGTTGCCGGAGCAGCAGAGGCTGAACAAACAAACGAATACACTCACTCAAGCATTGGACGTAGCTTTTCTCGGAGCGAATAATCTCTTTTAGAATGTGGCGGCGGCGGCGCTCAAGCAAATATGCGTCACGGTCCTCTCCTGCAGCATGAGCAAGCTCCATCGACAGCTCGGCGTCCGTGGTAGGGCAACGATCAAGGGACGACAACCGTCGCCTTTCGACTGAGCCGATAAAACTGGAGTTCGAAATCATCGACATCGAGGCCCGAATAGTACTTTGAGGTACACTGATATTCAAGCTTAAGATGCCGCTCTGTGTAAGTGAAACTGGAAAGTTTGTGACGCGAGAACGTCGCATGCGATGCAATGCTTTGTCCGCTGAGCTCTGAACTGCAACGCGCCATGCCACCTCTTCTTGGATGGTCGTAGCACACAAAATCCACTCGTTCTCATGTAATGTAGCGTTCGCTGAGGAAGAAAACGAAGTTGGCGATGAGGATGGTGCAGGATGAACCGGTGAGGGCAAAACCATCGAGGCAGGCATTTCGCTGGACGAATCAGGCCTTATAAGTGGAATCACAGACTCTCGCCGACGACCAAAGAGGTTGACAGCTTGTTTGAATGGAGAAACTTTGTTCATAGACCACATTGAGGCTTGGTTGAAACGCCTTGGGCTTGCTTTGTGCTGCCCGCTGGTGTCCACTTTGACCTTGGACTGCGTCTCATCGTACTCGGCAGTTGATATTTGAAAGCAGAAACGATTTTTGTGTACCCGACTGTCTGATCGATGGATCACAATGGCACCCGCGAGAGAAAGCTCGTCCGTGCAGCACCGAAATGTTTTACTGTTTGTTGGGCTTACAGTAACCGCCGGTCCTCCATTTCCAGAGCTGTTTAACCCCGGAGGGTTACTGTTCTGGTCGCCTGGCGTAGCACCTGTTAGTGCTGTTTCTAGCGAAAACTGCTTGAGCACACCTGCGCGAAGCTCGTAATAGTGCTCAGTCCACTTCTTAAATCGTCGACGGCGTAGCACACCGCGAAATTCTACGACCCGTGATAACCAGTGCAATGCAATTTGACGCACTAGGTCAAGGACCTTAAAGCAAGGACTACAGACACGTTCAGTTCGTGACGATTCACCAACGAATAGCGGTGCACGTCCTGTAGAGCAGGCGTCGCATACCACGGTTCCACACCGGCGACAGTGATGCCTCCTTCGATAGTATGCACGGAAAGATGCATTGCAGATATTGCACGACCCAGCAACATCATCAGGAACCCATAAAGCTGCGGCGTCAGCAGGTCCCTCACACGTCTCAGGATTATTACCGTCGCGGTCACCATCTTCGCCATCTATAGGCTGTTTTCGCTTCTGGGCTTCTGTCACAGCACATGAAATGGCTTCGACCCACTCACGCTGCATCTCGGGGGTTTCTGTAAACAAGACAAAAGTCTTCTCTCGACTAGTAACGACGAAGCCGCAGTCTTTGCCGGCGCGACGTCTTGACTGCTGGTTAAAAAGTGCTTGAACCGATGCGGGTAGTTCTGTCTTGACGCCAACAGCCTTAGAATGCAAGTGAACAATTCGTCGGATACGGTAGCCGCCGGTAATTAGAACACCACTATACAGCAGAATATCGTTGAAAAGATGCATCATGACGTCTTCCTGTCGCTTCGTAGACATCTTGGTTAGTTTACCCGACTTCAATAATCTTCTGTCTGCTGTGAACAGTGAGAGCTGGCCTGAGAATTTCTGTTGAGCCTGGAGCACAATTTCTAGGTTTTCCTGGCGGCGCACAGTCTCGTTGATAAGTGATGCTGCACTGCGTATTCGATTTACTGCCTCCGTAAGAAAAGCTGCATCGGGGTGTTCAGGTGGCGTAAGCTCGCACAGGCGCTCTAAAAGCAACTTGTAACGTGGGATACGTTGAATCGGCATAATCAGCAGGCTCTCAAACGGCTTCAATGAGCCACTTTTTGCTCGACAGGTTTCTAAGAAGGTTGAGAAACCCAAACGAGCGTCGCGTCCAAAATTCTGCAGTAGAGCTGCCACCTCTTCGTAGTCCTTGGCGTACCCTCCATAGAGCTTAAACAGTGGTGCATATCGACAAAAAACAGCACCAACTCCTTCCGCTTCGCATTGCACTGCTACTGCAGCTGGACTTTTGACGCTTTTCATACGTTTACCATTAGCAGCCACTTTCTCAATGTGTTTTTTCTTAGATGTAGATACAGGTGGACGATCCATAATCATCTGTAAATCAGTAAGCAGTTTGGAATTCAGCATAACAAGATGCCTCAAGTTATTAAAGAACACAGCAATCTGCGCGTCCTCCATGATTGGATGACTCTTTTCTTCCAGTGCCACAATGTAATGATCATTCAGTGCACGGATATCACTCACGTAGCTCTTTTCGGTCTCACAGATCTCCTCAATTACATGCGCACGTAGTCTTGCCTGCTTTGCAGCTGGAGAATCCGAGTCTATAATAAGATCCTGCTCTTGATTCTCCTGTCCCTCATCATCATCATCTTCTTCATCTTCTTCTTCTTCTTTCTTCGTATCGACGTCCTGGTTATCCTCCTGCAGCTCCACTTTCAATGCTGGCTTCAATCCAACGCTAGGCATCAGATCACTCGGATCAAACAGCATAATGCCTTGATCTAACGTCACCTTGTGTGACGAAGGCTTGATATCTACACGCCGTCGACGCTGTCGCTGCATTGTCGTGCGTGGGCCTTGCACTGCTGCTTGTTGCTGCTGTAAATGGCTGCTCATGAACGTACAACTTAAAAGAATGAACACATGCGCCTTTCCGCTAGTAAGTTATGCTTTCATCCGCCACTGTAATGGCCACTGCAAGGCAGCAGTTCCTTGACCGTTTTTTACAAGATTCCGCAGAAAAATGGCCAGAGCGGTTTCGAATGCGCTATGTTGCCCATAGTTGCGAGCGCAATTGACGGGACATTAAATTATGTAGGGACAACTTGTATCATATATAATACAACCTTATAAAAAGAATCTAATGCAAAAAGAAAGGATATTAGAGTTCGGATGATCGACGTTGAAGTCAGTATGTCGACGACATCTGACTTCGAGTCGAAATTTGACTGAAAAATGGTCAATAGTCGAGTTCAGTTCTTGCTCTATGTAATTTACGACGACTGTATGTATCAGCAGTCGACTGTCAATAGCCATAAATTACAGTGAGACCTTCTTGCAAGCGACCATCGAATCGCTTGCGACAGTGTTACGGACACCTTGTCCTTCGATATTACTCATCCGTGTCAACAATGCAGCATTCGAAAATTAACATTAGAGAACTGACGTTGCAAAAAGGATTAATGGAAAGGCATAGAACTGCATCATTCATTTTCTCTCACCGTCCTCATGATTTATCTGTCGCTAATGGACAGCCATAAGCCTAATGACATCTCTCTTCACTTCTTGTCTTGCTTCCTCTATTCGACCTTGGTCGTCTTCTTGGCAGAAATCGCGGCAAGACGTTTGAGAGTCAAATGACCAGACCAGAGGTTCACAGAACCCAGCACACTGAGGTAGCCTAGTGTGCGAAACATGGTCAGCTTCAGCCAGTATAAGCCGAAAAGAACCAAGATTCCACCCAACGACGCTAGGAACACGCAACCAAACACGAACACCGAGCCTTCGAACAGGCGCTTTGTGTTGAATCCAAGACGCATGACAAACAGCAAAAAGAAAGCCAACGGGGCCAGTACTGCACCCGTGAAGGCCAAAGACACAATCACAGGTGGCCGAGGGTCTTGTGTACGCATGACGTGCGATATCTTGGGTAATGCCTTGAGTGTCATATCGCTCTCGTATAGCAATGGCTTCTTGTAGAGTGGCGAGGGTTTCTCAGGTGGGGCCACACCAAGCTGCAGCTCGACATTGCCCATGTCCCACACAATCGCCTTCTCAAAAGTAGAAGCGCCGAGAATGAGCTCGACGTGATGTTTGCCCGAATTGTATCCAAATCTCTTGCTGAGTGACGTGAACTGCAGCGTCGTGCTGTGGGTCTGAGCATTATCGGCCGTCAGCACAAAGTACGTCTCTGTCTTCTCCGTAGCGTGCGTAAAGCGAAGAAACGCCTGGTGGGCCACCACGGGCGTCTTGTCATGCGTCTGCTGCAGTGTCACCTCCATCTTGAACTTGTCGGCCGATGCAGCATTAAAAGTCTGACCTGTGAGCTTGTCTCCTAGCTGCAGCTTCATGCCATTTACATTGGCGCTCGCCACTTCCACGGGCGTCGTCACTTTCAGTTGCAGCACCTGATAGGCAATCTGATTGGTCTCTTCGTCCACTGCCGATACCTTGAGCTTGTACATGCCCGTCTGCAGCTTGTCATCACCTGTAAGTTGCGTCACAAACTTGCTACCGTCTCCCTTGAGCGTCTACAGCGTACACAATTCAGCACTCTCTAAGGGCATAATCGATACAAAGCGAGACCCTCATAAAGAATATTTAACGTACCAGTCCAGAGAGAACAGTAGCACCAGATGTATCCACGAGCGTCTCAAGTGTCAACTCCTTAAGCTTGGGCTGCTTGGGCGTCACCATGACGGCCACCTCCAGTGCATCAGCCGTCAGCTTTACCTGTGTAGAAGCCAGCTTTAAATTTACATTAGGTGCAGCCTCCGTAGACAGCAGCAGCAGCAACGTGGCACCGCATGCGGCCTTAAGAAGAGTTGAGAGCGTCATCGTCACTTGTCTCGACTTGCAAATTGGACCGCGTGGCACGTCAGACTTTGTGTATTGAAATGATTGTAGCTCATGATATATGTACTGGACGTAAAAGAGATGGTATCATTTGGTAAAAAAGCGTATTAAATCCACTACGTACTTAATTGAATGTAATACGGTAGATACTGCGATATGGCTACATAAACTTCAGCTTCAATTACATGACCAAAAAGTATCTTTACTTGAACGCTACAAACTCGTCGATCCAGTCATGAATCATCTTAATCTCAATCTTACGCGCAGAAATGACAGATGGGGGATCCTTTGGATGACTGAAGAACAGGTCCAGGTGGTGAGCACCCTCAGCAATCGTCACGATCGTCACCTTCGCGTCCTTGGGCGTATGCAACACGCCGGCGCTACTCCACGGGTCCAGCAGGCCGTTGCTAAAAACAATGTTGGAAGCTGACCGCAGCATTTCGTCGCCGTAACTTACACGAATGCCGTCTGGATCGGGCGTTGTGTGCCAGCTGCGCTGACAGTGCTTACGGATTTCCTCGAACGTAGTATTGCGCACCCAGAACATGTCCGTTTTACCGTTTGTGCTGAAGTATGTCTCCTGCGGCAGCATCTCCGTACAGTATTGATAGTCCCAGATACCATCGTAGTCCCATAAAGTCGGGATTTTGAAACAAGGCAGGTCTTTGGTCGCATTATGGAACACAAAGGCAGCGTCGCGAAGCGCCTCCAATAGCGACGTGTTCACACTTTCCTGCCTGAACGATGTTGTGGGGAATTCTCCCGCTAGATGTGAGCACGCTTCACGAACGGGCCATGCCGGAAGCTCAACTGCTCCTCCCGTGAGGTAGCTGAACGAGTACGGATAATTCCCCATAGCCAGGGTGTCAAAGGCAAACAACACCGACATCGCCAGATCTTTGCCCTCCTCCTCGCGTATTAGCGGCTTACATAACCTGAACAATGAAGACAGCGTCGCGCGCCCACTTTCTGTCTTAGCTAGCTCAAAAAGTTGCGGCCATGATTTTTTTGCGTTCACCTCGCAGTTTTTCGCTGATCCTGCATCAGGAGATGCGTCATGTGTCACAACTTGCCAATACTTCTGGCCGTCGAAATCGGGGAAGCCACCGAAGCCATAAATAGGAGCTGATGCCGCAATAGCACCTGCAATAATGGCTGGATACTTCATACGGAACCACGCTGACAGCATGCCTCCATAGCTACCTCCAAAGGCAATGACGGGGTGGTTGAAAGCGTCGTATTTCTTCTGCAGATGATAGATAAGTTCTGCATAGTCAGCAAGTGCCTGGTCGTGTGAGAGGTAAGCCAAGTGGTCCATGTACTTGTCGCCGAACGGAAAGCTCTTGCCGTAGTAGCGGTGCTCGGCAAACACGACAAGTGCCTTGAATGCCAGGGCGTGTTCCCATATAAGTCCCGTGTGGTTCGCGTAAAGTGTCACGTCTCCTTCATTGCCTGTGTAAAAGAAAACAGGTGCTTTTACATCCTTTGGATCCCAGAACTGCGTATTGAGCAAGTATCTCTGTTTATAAGTGGCAGGGAGGTCACTAGGTGAAGTATTGGTATCAATAGAGGCCACTGTCTCTGCTGCGAGCCACGAAAAATGGTCAATGCGTTGTTCGATCCACAGCTCGGAGCAGTTGCTAGCATCGGCTTGAATCCTCGACTGAATGGGTTGCACAACAGGACGTAGTGTACCCAAAGAACTGTGTGGGAGGTCGACTGTCGCCATGAGATGCTGTGTGTGGATCAATACAAACACGCCAATGAGGAGCGTCAATCCACCAAACACGACGACGTTGGCCGGTGCATAGTTTAACACTAATAAAATAGCAGAAAGAGAGAGAGATTAAGTGTCTAAAGGTGCTCAAACATGTGTGATCGATACAAATTGCAGCAGGATCGTACGAGTATTGTAAATGGTTTCGGGATATTGCGGTACATTGAGACTTTGCCAGCGGGTGACGCGCACTCGTCTAGAGCTAGATGTCGAGTCAATGGATGAGTCGACGGAGCGTGCATTTCCCGAGTTCGAATGAGTCTTAGTCGACCACGCAGCACCAAGTCGTTCCCGCGTACCCATTCGGAAGTAGCAGTTTAGGATCCAGCTCCGGAGTTACTCCCCGTCTAAGGTCTGTGATGTATCCACACCATTTTGACCTGATCATTACCAGACTCATTTGGCCATGCACTATAAGACGCACATGCCCGCACGATTCTCTGTGGATGACCAGATGGCCGAGGTGCGTGTTTATAATGAGATATAGAAACTTGAATGGGTAGAGATTAATTCGTTGCATATTTTTACTCTTTTGTAGGCGCTGGCGTCGCAGGAACTTATGGGAAATCGTCAACGGAAGAACTTTCTCAAGCTTTTTCGCAAATATTCAAAGGTCAAACAGACCTCGATCGATTGGTGCGACATGACAGATCATTTTCTTTTTGATGTTGCATGATAATGTCCGACTTAATTGTCAATTATTTGACTACAGGAACTCGGTAAAACCACCGACAAGTGGCACATTAACGAGCAACACGTCGGTAGAGAGCTGTCCTAATGATATGAATCTCCGACACGAGCTGCTTGATAAGCTCGTAAGTTTGTGCTACAGAATTGAAGGGATCGAATGGTTTTTTGGAGTAAAATTATCTGGTTTTTGTATCTTATTGCAGGTCATTCTAAAGCTAAATGGCGGTCTGGGTACGACACTGGGCTGTGAAGGACCGAAGAGTGCAATTGAAGTGCGTCAAGACTTGTCGTTCCTTGATCTCACTGTACGCCAAGTGGAGGTACGTGATCTAATGAACAACAGCTGGTGCTGATGCGTTTTCACTGATTTCTTCATTAGTACTTGAACAGCGTGTACGGTGTCGATGTCCCGCTTGTGCTCATGAACTCGTTCAATACGCACGAGGAGACTGTGCGCATTATTCGCAAGTATCGCATGCACAATTTGAGCATTCACACATTCAATCAGAGTTGCTATCCTCTTATCGTCAAGGAGACAATGTTACCACTGCCCAATACAAAGTATGACCGCTCTACACGCGACAAGTGGTTCCCGCCAGGTCATGGTGACGTCTACAACGCGCTGTTTGAGTCTGGACTGTTGGAGAATCTGATCAACCAAGGCAAAGAGTACATTTTTATCTCCAATGTCGACAACCTTGGCGCGACTGTGGACCTGGACATGCTCTATTACATGATAAACGAAGAATCTGAGTTTGTCATGGAGGTGACCGAGAAGACCCGCGCTGATGTTCAGGGAGGCATGCTTGTGAGCTACAAGGGCAAACCCCATCTTTTGGAAGTAAGTCAGGTGCCACCAGAGCACATGGACGATTTCCGTGCGATCAACAAGTTTGGGACGTTTAACACGAACAACCTCTGGGTGAATTTGCGTGCAATCCAACGGCTGGTGGCACAGGATCTCATCGACATTGAGCCGCTTGTTAACTTCCGTAACGTGAAGAACCACAAGGTTGTGCAGTTGGAAACCGCAGCTGGTGAGGCGATCCACCTATTCAAAAATTTCATTGGATTGAAGGTGCCACGTTCACGTTTCCTACCTGTGAAATCCTCGTCGGATCTCTTCCTTGTGCAGTCAAATCTGTACCAGATAAAGCATGGTAGTTTGATCATGAACCCAGCACGCACGACGCCTACAATCCCTATAGTGAAGCTTGGACTAGAGTTTCAAAGCGCGAAGGAGTACCTAGCACGGTTCGAGAATAGCATTCCCAACATCACGGAATTAGATCACCTCACGGTCGCTGGCGACGTCAAGTTTGGCTCCAACATTACACTTAAAGTAAGGATGTCAGGCTTTTATGTCGTGTTGGTTGTTAATTTGTCTAACGGAGCTCATGAATTGCCTTGTGTGTTGTTGTTAATAGGGAACAGTGATTCTTGTTGCTAACGAAGGTGCTCATATTGATCTGCCTGACGGAACTGTCTTAGAAAACAAGGTAGTGACTGGTAACCTGCACATCTTGGATCATTAGCGAGTTAAACTCAAAGAACGAGTTTAAGTTAGTTACTGGAAGCGATTGAAGCCGAGGATGAGACCCAAAGAAATGCATGCATATGCATTGTTCTGTTTAACAATTCTCGAGCGAAATACACGCAGTGAAATTTCCAAACGCATAATTTTGCTATTGCCGAGTCTAATACACGGCAACAATGTGCTTGCAGATTGGGCACTGACGATGATGCATGAGCCATTGGTCGATGCACTCACGGTGATAGAAGTGCAGACACGGTAAAGCGCGCACTTCTTCTTCCGTTTGAAACTCATCACAGCACACTGCACAAACCGTGTTACTTACCTCGCGATCGTTTTCCGTTTGGTTTATGCCATCGAGATGCTCACGGAGCTGGTATTTGAACGTTGGAAGTGTGATAATCTGCGGGTACGGGAGACCATCCCAGCTGTCGGCCTACATTGTTTCACCATCAACAAAGAATATTGTAAGAAGCAGCACACGAACAATGCTCAACTAAGTAAAAAAGCATAACAACGGACATCGACTTGCTGCGAGCGAAGTTCGTTAATGCGACGGAGCAGCGAAAGAAAGCGCAGTTTACTCTGACCCTCGGTCGCATTGTTTCCAGTCTCACACGCAGATGCCACCGACGAAGATGAAGTAGATCCCAGTATATTAAGATGACGGCGAATGAGCGAGAAGAACTTGCTCTTACTTTCCGCCGTTTCACCATCTGCCACCGAGTCGTCAGACGTCGACCTGCCGGATGCAGGAAAAGATCCAAGCAGTTGGGTAAGTGCTGTGTTCGTCACACTGCAGAGTCATCACCACCACAAAGATATCAGTCTGTGTATACTTATCACTGACAACACCAGACAAAACCAACTCAACGTACTGCAACGGGTTGGAAGCGTTCACTTCTATAGTGGACTCACTTGACGCCCTACGGAGCGAATGAATAAATGCCAAGTCCAGTTCACCATTAACAGGCGGCACGTTATGTAAATTGTTCGTGGCCGCCTCGTCAACGTCAGCAGCAGCAATTGAAATGAGTCCAGAAGGTGACAGCTGTGTATTGACAGGCGACGAGCTCATATCCTCAACCCTCAGCCCCTCCAGTGGCATACCATCAGATCCCAGCAAAAGTGCCAATTGAGACGATAGTGTTGGGCTTGAATCGTGACGACTGACGTGCTCGTCTCCGGCCAAAGCAACTGCTGTGAGCACGTTTTTCTTCTTCGTCTTACCGTCCTCTTTAGGATCATTATCTGATGCATCAGCTTCTTCCATAGCACGTGCAATTTCCTGAGAACTGGTAGTGTCTTCTTCCCAATAACTGGACGCTTGCGGATCTACACGAGGCTATAGCAAGTCAAGAATCAATTAATCTAGAAGAGAAAAAAGTAAAAGCCAAGGAACTAGACACGTACGTGGAGAGTTTGAGGCATGCGCGACCCATAGAGCGATCGGAGGAACATTCGTCTTCTCTTACTTGTTCTTCTTCTGGTTATGATGGTTGTCAACCCATCTGTCACTTTCATCTTGGTTTTATTATATACAAAAAGTCTGCGAATGTTTATACGGTATGAGTCACAAATGTAGCCATGTGATGACAAGGACCAACAATGTTCAAGCTATAACGAGTCAAATTCCATCGGATCATATCAATACGTTGCTAACGACGTTAAAACGAGCATAATCGGTCGCTTCACCACTTTTAGCAGCTTTTAATGCTGCTGCGTCTTGTCTTCGTTTCGAGTCCATGCGGTTATAGCCTTTGACCAATGTTTGAAAAGCTTTTACCCATTGCGAAGGACTTAGCAGCTCAGTGCGTCCGCCATCCTTGCTGCCACTTGGTGAGAATGAGAAAAGCAGGTCAAGATACTTTTGCAGATATTGATTCAGGCGCTGAAATCCCGTGTCGTCATCTGCGAGTGGTTGTAGCAGTGAATCGTCGATCAGGATGTCGTCAGCACTGACATCCGAGTCCAACGCGTCCAGAAAATTCGCGAGCTGTGCTTCTGGTCGTCCGTCAGCTGTAACTGTACGTCTAGAGACAACCACTACGCTGTGCGCAAGGTCCAAGTTAAATACCCGCCTTTCCTTGCTCAAATTAGCTGTACTTAGTGCGTCACGCATGCGCAACGAGCCGACGATATTGCTGCGCAATGACCGAAACAGAGTTGTCAAGCGTGCCTCCAGTGCCTTGCAGTAGGATACCGTCGCTGAGCGCAAGGGCCCAGATCCTTGCGTCTTGATTGAACCATGCAATATTTCATCTGGTGCTGGAACAACGTAAACCACTAACGGCACACAGTGACCGGGTGCGAATGCATTCTTTCCCCCACTCGAAAAAGATGAAGAGCCTTTCGAGTGGCCACTATCACGCTTTGAGTGCTTGGACGATGTCGGAACGACGTTCAGTAGCTGCGTCTTCTCCGCTGCCAATGCGCGGATATCTTTCAAGACATTAGTGGTCATCCTCGCGTCTTCTTTTAGCACAAAGAGCATGTTGCAACTGGAATAAAGAAGCACTTGCATCTTAAGCTTCTCATGTTCAAAAGCGTCCACTTCGTTGCGTGTCCGTTGTGTCTCCTTCAGCGTTTGGTCTTTAGCATCGTCGTCCATCGTCGTTTGTCGTTGACTAACTAATCTGTTCTTACTGCCGTTGTTTGGATTTGCAGCTTTAATTGTTGTAGTAAATGAATTGAAACAATAACGCTCGGGTCGAGCCACACCTAGCAGGTAAATGCATCTTGCCACGTCGTCATAGTAGAGATGAACACTAGCAGGCAATGGGGTGTCTTTTACAGTAGTGGCAATTTGCATCTCTTCATCTCGAAAGACGCAGCGACCAATGACACGATTTGCAAAGGCAAAAGCCCGTGAAGAAGATGACGAGCTCATGCTGAGTAAACCCACGATAGCCACATTCTTGTTCTGTAGCAACTGCAATGCAGCAAGAGATCCATTACGACCAGGCTCTGGAGGATACACCCGCATCGGTTCATTTTGACTGCGATCAAACGGAAGCGGTGGCGCATGATGCGATAAAGAGACTGAGGACGTCGATTGCCGTCCACTATCTCGACTTCCAGCCATGATCGCTCGTCTGTCAAGAGAATATATATATATATGTACATTTACAATTGTTCTAATTTGGTAACATGGATACATTACGGGCCTTTTCTGTTTACGTATGCCAAGTACCTGCTACTTCAGATGAATAGCGTATTGCTTCTATAAGTCGCATTAAGTCTTTGTTTGCGTAAATTAAAAAAGCGGCCTCTCTATTGTCTTTTAAGCCTTCCTTGTCATCATAGTCATTGTTTTAAACAGCTTCTTCTTGCTGTTGTTGTGATAATAACGTCGGTGATTTACATGCGTCACGCCGCCGCGTCTAGGACAAGAAAACATTACGTTTGACAATGTACAAACACATTTGTAGCGCTTAGATAAATGCTCGTCCTCGATGTGCTGGTACTGCGTCGTCTTCGCATCCAAATTGAAGATATAAGTTTTGAGCACTATGTTGCAATCGATGGAGTGAATGTCACGTTGTAGTTGAGTTATCACCGATTAAGATGTCACGGAAATGGTATTCGCTATTCAAGCAGTACCGCAAGTCGTTTGCAATGCTTAATAGACCTCGACGTGTCGTACTAGCGCGGACCCCACTGCGCGAACTAGCTACAGTAATCTGTGGGCAACTTTTTGGAATCATGGACACCAACAGGGCCAACACCATATGCTCAACCTGCCAAAAGTCCATCATTGTATCATCTCTTGTCGACGTTAGGCAATATACATACCTCAAGCAATTTCTCATCGCGGAACTGGTGACCTGCGTGCTTGGTGAGGTCATTGTAGCTCGGAGTGGAACATCTTTGAGCTTTAGCAGTTCAATGCAGGCTCAAAAGTGACACCAGCAATTTGTACGTCAATGCCAGGTATGTTTGTTACTGTAAGTCTTAGCAGAACTCGTATCCAGAAGTCGTACGTTCCAAGTCTCTGCGTTGTTTGTACGTGTTTTTGATAAGGATGCTTGCAACACGAATGCTGCGTGCATTGGAATTAATCGCAGTGGGTATTCATAATCCACATCTTGGTGAAACAGTCGTGCACAAAACAACAAGCCACCACATATGTCCACTTCTCTGCTTTGCTTCGACACGGCAGAAGCGAGGCCTTGCCTGCTTCATCTTAAGCCAAGCTGTTTGAGCACACCATGAACGCCACGAAGGCTGACGTGCTACACGTACTTGCGTGCTGTTTTTTTACACTGACGAAATCTAGTCGCTGCAAATGGCAAGCTGCCTGATTACACTTTTGTCGAGCAGAGCTACACTTGAACGTCTACCAAAGAAACAACAGATCATTTACTTCTTCACAAGCTCTCATTAATACCGAAAGCTTTGTCACAGGTGTGCTTACAAGTGTAAATGTAACCATCTCACCACACGACACACTCCAAATGCTTGTGGTCATGACGGCAAGTGCATTGGCAAAAAAGAACAGCTCTTCGTGGAAGCGAAACGCCGTTTGTTTACACTGTAGAAGGCTCCAAAGCAACAAATTTAGGACGACGCCACGCGAACGCGTTCGTATGTATTGCGACTTGAGTATCATATGACTGAGTCGCTGTTATTTCACCGTACGTCCATCCAGACAGATATGTGGGACTTGCGTTAAAATATTAAACCCCTCGAAAGCCGGTACAGCCCAAAGCAGACACCGAGATTTGGGCGTACCCTTCAGCGGCTGATTCCTTGGGCCGTAAAACCTGATACCTGTGCTGAATTGGAACGCGTCCCACGTCCCAGTTTGCAGTGCACGATGTTCGCTAGTCTATTGAGCGAGGCGCTCTGCGAAGGGGATTTACCATCGTCCTACCTTGTAGCACGCCATCGTGCTCTGTCAATGCTTGGTCGGCGTTCCGTTGGCTGCTTCGGTTGTCGCTCGCCTCGAGACATTCCAGAAATGAGCAAGCTTGATTTCTGCAAGCGTCATTGTCCCACAGTGGATCGCGAAAGCAGAGCGCGATGGAACTGGTCGGACTATGATCGATCTGGAGCCTGTCTGTTTCGGGTTTACCACCCACCAGCTTCAGCTGCTAATGGTTCAATTGAGACCCCACTTAGGATTTTGCCTTAGACAAAACAGTCCCATCCCGTGGGAGTTTATTTGGTCTGTTAGTGATGTTGAACGCCATCTCACTGTCGGAGGAAGAGCTAGGAATGCTGTTCGGCCCAGCCTTACATGGGGCCGTCAGCACTTCTACGCCCACACTTCGTAACAGAAAAGCCCTTCGCCAAGCGCCTGTTAAACGTATGGCCAACAAGACGACGCGGGCCGCAAAGGCCAAGCCAAACACGACGCATCGTGGAGTCATCCCCGCTCGCTGCGGCTACCGAACGGGAAAGTGTCAGAACCTGCAGGCCTTTAAACGCAACGGAAAGTTGCATAAGCTGTGTGAGTTTCATCGCGAACGAGCCAACCTAAACCAGAAAAAGCTGGATCGCAAGAAGCGGATGCAGCGCTCGAAGCACTCGCCGTCCCGTTCTTCTTGCAAGTCCGTAACATCCAAGGACAAGGACAAACCAATCAAGAACATTGCGAAACGGTCGCCGCGCACCGTCGAAGCGGCGGTGACCAGCAGCGTGTTCAAGACCGAGTCCAAGATGGAACTCGACGACTTCGATATGGAGCTCGTTTTGCCTACCAATCTCCATGAAGCTCCGCTGGCGCTCGGCTGCGAAGAGCTCGCTATCTTTTGCAGCCTCATGACCTTCGACGTCAATCATCGAGCGCCAATTAGTCGAGACTCAACACCAGTTCACACTCCATCAAACCATTACTATACGTCGTGTAGTACCGTGTGAGGCCATTAAGATTATTAGAACACTACCACTAAGTTAGCTCGAAAAATATATAAAACGTAGCGTCATACAGTCAAGGGCTCCAAGTTAAGTGATGAGATGATGTGATATACACGTCAAGTCTTGAAACCTGTCAAAGTCTCGCATAAATACGACTATTATGCAGACCAGAGCCTAATCTTTAGCTCGCTCTTGTTATTTTATTCAAATCGCTGTGTTTTATCTAACCTCATCTTCACTTTTTCTTTGGCTCAAAACCACTCTAACCGTCGTCAGAATGGCAGTTCCTGTGTTCTCGTGGATAAATTTGGCGCTCTACGTGCTCCAGCTCTTTGTTAACAAACTATCGTCACGTCACATTGGACCCGTGTCGCGGCACCACGAGACCCTCATCACGCCAGCGCCCTATGCCTTCAGCATTTGGGGTTTGATCTACATGTTTTTGACCGCAACTGTCGTCGTGGATTGCTTTTGGCCTTCTGTTTCCTTCTACTCGAATCCTACAAACGCCAACGTCTTACGCTCACTTTTTGCCGTGTCGTGTATCATGAACATGGCGTGGATCGTCTTCTTCAGTAATGAGTACGTGAACGTGGCTACGCTAACGATCGTAGTGCTATGGCTCTCGCTCTTTGTTCTTTACGCACACATCGTGATGGAGCGTCGCGATACCAGCTTCGACTTGAAACGCTACGTGCTTAGTGAGCTGGGCATTATCATGTATTTTGCTTGGACTTGTGCCGCCACACTCATCAGCTTTGCCGTTACGGCGCAGTACGTCATCGATGACTACCTGTCGTTCACGTCGTACGTGGTGCTGCTGTCAGTACTGGCGGTGTTCTCGCTGTCCGCAGTCATCTACGAGAATGACGTGGCCTTTGGTCTGGTGGCTATCTGGGCGTTAATCGGCCTTGCAGCCAAGAGCACGACGCTAGAGCAGCGCGTCGAGATCATTGCGATGAACATTCGTGCATGCGCTACACAGAGCGCTGCCGTCATTGCGGCTTTCATCGTCATCTCGATCGCGCACATGCTACTGGCTTCGAAGACGTGAGTGGTGTAGATGCATTTGGCTATATTTTGACGGTGATTGCTAACTTTATGAGTGTCTTTCTCTGCTTTTTCTTCTACAGGAATTTTCAGCCCTTGCAATCAGGTGCCCCACTCTACAGTGACAAGACGATGCAGCACTTGGACTATGGCACTACCAAGGTCTAAATTTTCTGCTTTATAGCTACGTACAAATGGACGTAGGCAGATATCGTGTTAAGGAAGCAGGCTATGGCCGGTAATATTTGTAACGTGCTCACCCTCTCATATCGGATACTGCAACAATGCTCAAAGCAGCTATAACTCGAAGCAGATATGGCTTCAGTGTAAGAAAAGAAGTGACGGTGATAGGTACAAATATGGCTACACTCAAATCCCGCGAGACTGCGAGGCTTCCATGGGTAAATGCTGCGTCCTTTGGAGTGCAAACACTGTTGACTTGCATCGGGCTGGCGGTAGGGGATGCAAACGACGTGCGTGTGCAGAACGACACGCTCTTGACCCCCGCAGCATTTGCTTTCTCTATCTGGAATGGCATCTACCTGCTTTGCATGATTTTACTTATTACCGACGTATCGTACACTGGATTGACACTCTACGACTCGGCCGCAAAGCCCAACACGCTGCGGCTATGCTTCGCCGCCTCTTGTGTAGCCAACGGGTCGTGGTGCATCGCACTCGCTAGTGGGAACGTGCCGGTTGCCAGTGTGTTGGTGTCACTATTGTGGCTGACGCTACTACCGCTTTATATCTTTGCCAGCTATGAACGCAATGTCCAGACGGTGTTATGGCACGAGTATCTGTGCAGTGAATTGTGTGTGCGGCTGTACTTTGCTTGGATCACAGTGGAAGTAGTGGTAAGCTGGACTATGACGTTGCAGATCAAGGACAATGATGGTGTGCTTCAATTGTCGGCGTATCTTACACTCCTAGCTGTACTGGTGGTAGTAGCGTTGGCAGGACTTTTCCATGGTCGGGACCCTATCATGGCTCTCGTGGTGGCATGGGCACTCATCAGTATCACCTCAAAGGACGTCGCCAAACTCGACATTACAGTCTTCCACGAGTTTGAAAAGGTGCAAGCTGCAGCAACCCTTGGCGCTGGGATATTAGTGGCTGAAGTTCTTGTATCCTGTAGCTACTGGACGATTAAATTGATCTGGTAAGGTGCAAACTGCTCTCCTCAACTAAACATAATGCTTGATCTCTAACCTGTCCTCTTGATGACTTGTGACACGCAATTCAGCAAACTCAAGCCACTATCCCCCCGCCCAAGACGACTATCAAGACTTTCTCAAGCCTCTTCCAAGGACAAGGAATACGGCTCCTTCCGAGTCATGACAGCTGCATAAATCGCTACTGCTACAACCTCACCCGCTTCTGTTTGACTCAGAAATCCATTTTCTACCAATATCAGCGCACCAAGTCGAATATCTCGCCAATCACAGTCGGTTTTCACTTTTAAGTGACCTGCTCGTACTTCTCAACCAAGCAAGTGCTCTCAATTATGGGTCCACCGTCACTCGGGCAGCATCTGCCGAGCTTCAACGTCGTACTCTTCACTTTCCAAGTTGTAGTCGCCATTGGTGTCTTTTTGTTTGCTCCTGAAGGATCTTGGGAACCTTCACACGCTTCTTACACCGACTCTAGCGGATCTCTAGTTCTTCCACCTTCCACGATCCCCACAGCGTCTACTTCGATGCCAAACAATCCATTGTCTCCTCCAGTCTACGTGTTCTATATTTGGGTACCCATCTACGTCTTCTCGGGCATTACCGTCATCACGGACCGTTTCTATCCGACCTACAGCTTTTACTTGACGTCAGATGACCCGAGCTTTCTTCGTCAATGGTTTCAACTCTCTTGCTTGGCTAATATGTCCTGGGTGGCATTGGACAAGTGGTTGAGCTGGGTACACATGGCTACATTTTCTCTTGGAGTCCTCTGGTGTACTATTCTACCTCTCTACCTCTTCGTAGTGCGTCACCCGACACCGAGATATTCACAAGCTTGGGTCTATTACTTTTGCAGTGAATTCTCCGTGCGACTTTATTTCGGATGGCTCAGTGCTGGCTTTATATTTGGACTCGCAGATGTGATGCAGTATCTGCACGCAGCTTATTTCGGATTCAATGTCTACGCTGTTTTGTTGGGGACCCTGCTAGTGCTGGCGTTTGGTACTTATGTCCATGGGAGGGACCCGGTGGTGGGTCTAGTTATCACATGGGCTCTGATCGGCTTTATCTTTAAGCACTCGACATTCCCAGACGATACACAGGAGGTTTTTGAGAAGCTGCAGGCTGTTGCCATTGTCGTCACGCCTGTATTTCCGATTCTTATGCTTATCGACAGCGTTCAATATGTCTATGTCGTCCATTGGAAAGCGTGAGTTGGTTTGGAATTGCAAGTATCGATGATTGATGCTGCTGTACTAATTCAGAGTATTTTTTGTTCATGGCTTTGCTGTAGAAGTACAAGAGTACCGAGTAGTAGCAACGAATACTTCAAACCATTTGAGTTTGAGACCACAGCCGAGTATGGGACAGTGTGAGCTAAGCCAACCATAGTTGGAGTGTACATTTGTTTAGACATAGACCCAGCTGATCTACTCGTGCTCTTTTGTTTTTCACCGGATGGGGAAGATCGCAACTTTTGGCACAATCTGTTGACTCTGTCTAGTTACATGCATCACAACGACGCTGTTCGTATCGAAACATAATGGTACATCACCTCGTGGCTTCCAATTGTAACCACTTCGCGTAAAAGTTTGCAATATTGGACAAGAAAGACTTCATTTCGATAAGGTTCGTGTGGGAAGAAATTCGGTCGTGCTCATCGCTACTGCGGAGCTTCGTGGTGCCGTTTTAACGCGGTGCGTCTCGGCGTACATTTGAAACCCTGGCTAATGCTAACGGCTTCACTATCTCACGGAATTTGCCAGTTTGCTGACACTGCGAAACTACGTATCTAAAGCCTACCTTCTCATCGTGATTCTCTCCGTCACATGCTAAATCCCAGCACATTGTTTCCTGCCATCCCAAAGGCAGATCATATCAAGCTGCAACATGGATGTACAGTCGTCTTCAACATCATAGTCGTGATAATCTCTCTGAGCTGAATCTCGCACTTGCGGTGGACACAGCGCCATGAATTGGATAAAATACGCTTTTACCTTCATCAGCCATTAGCATCTATGCTGATTTTGGTGATTAACATCTGCAATTCTTCCTCGTCGAATGTGTCGGTTTCAATGTGTAGACGTTCCTCTGATGAATTTCCTCTTCACGGTGGCTGTCAATGTATCGTTCAAAAGCCGCCACGACGCTGTCTGCGCTTGAAGGAATACTCACTTGGTTTTCGCCATGTAGACATTCTGGTTCCAGGTTGGGTTTATAGCAGGAATGCTCATATGAAGGCGACAAGAAGGAGACATTACAAAAGCTGCAAACGTCAGCTACCGTGGTAAGATCTGCGTTTTTGCTCTTGCTCATTCATTGTTCACGTTGAAGTTGATAACCTTTCTTGGCTACGTATTAGAGACGTAAGGAACACAGGAATCGCTGTGATGGGACGGTGTGAAGAGGATGCTGATAGTCTGAGAAGCGCCCAGGTAGTTGTTCGTTAATTTAACGGAGCGTCAGTATGATCGGCTCTTGTCCCTGCTTGAACTCTCAACTGTCGCAAAAGAAGACATAACACCGTTAGACATCAGAGTTATAGTGGTCTAGCTATCTCACCACCACTTTTCATTTGCTCACTTTGTAACAGAAACACAATTCTCACCATGGAAGGTACCTGGTTTGCCATGATCAATGCTGCACTGTTTGTGATGCAAGCCGTCGTGAACATTGTGTATGCTAAGCGAATCGTGGCGGTCACACGTGGCTATGAAACGCTGATCACTCCCGCAAGTTACGCTTTGGCTATGTGGGTTCTTGTCTACGCGCTGGAAGCGATGCTTGTCTTCGTTGACGTCTTCGCCCCGCGATACTCAATGTTTGCTGACGCCAATCAACCAGCCCAATTACGTTTGTGCTTCGGCTTGACGTGCATTCTCAACACGATCTGGGTGTTCTTGTTCGTATCAGGACACGTGTACGCCTCGACCGTTATTATCTACGCGTTGTGGCTGGTGTTGTTGGCGCTCTACATTTACGCCGTTAAAGATCGGAATGCACGCGAGACGGGGCCATTCGACTGGGTCCTTTACCTTTGCAACGAGGTTCCCATTTCGGCGTACTTTGCTTGGGTTACAACCGTCGCCTTCACTGAGCTCGCAATGTCCATGCAGCATTCGAATCAAGGTTTTTTGCGCCTCGCGACTTACGTTTCGTATCTTTGCGTTGTCATTGTGCTGGCATTGTTGACTTCACGTTACGCACAAGACTTGGTGGCGGGTCTTGTCATTATCTGGTACCTCATCTCAGTTTCGACCAAGCACGTGCATTTACCAGAATCAGTGCAATGCATGGATACCTCCGTTCGTGCATGCGCCGGAGAGGGTGCAGTGATTATTGCAGCTGTGCTGGCAATCAATCTTTGCCATTCATTTATGGAGGACAGGTAACCTTGTAATTTATGCTGATGATGATCTTGATTGCTGCTGTCTAATGAGCGTGCAACAATGTGTGGTTGTGCTTATCTGCCATGTTCGTGAATACGCGTGAGTGGAGTGAAGCCGTCCTCCAGTCTCAGGTATGGGTTCGGGAATGGCTGTCGCCGCGGGTGCCACCTACGGCGCCACCAACGCGTAATAGTGCAATTCCTGCAATTCCTCGCGCTACCGCTCGTGTTTCGATCGCCGTGCACTCTGTTGCTGGGGTCCCAGTTCCGTAGCATTTTGTCAATGACTCCATCAAGCTTCAGAATAAATATATATATTCCAATTGGATCGTGTCTGCTGGTTGACGGCTACGTCGTGTCGTTACTTGCTCTTGACTTGCTTCACTTTTCGGGTAAAGAGTACCGTGTTGTCGTCCGATAGTCAAGGCCTCCGACATTGACATCCTGTCTAACCGTTTTGGCGAGCGTAAATGTCAAAATCCAAGAGGTTCCGCCTCTTTCTTGGCGATAACGACACGTCACAATGTCGAGAAGCGGTCTGTTTGCTCTCGCTTTCATCACTAGATTGATTTCTCGAGCGACGTTTGTGTTTGCGCTTGTGTTTATGTTTGCGCTTGGTCGACTTCTTTTTTTGGAGCGGTAGCGACGATCTGATGAGTTGGAATCCAAATCGCTACTACTGACTTGCTTCAGCTTCTTCACCAATCTTTTTCTCCGCTTCGTCGATAATTGTGCTAGAAATGCATCTTCATCTGTTGTCGAAATCGTCAGTTGCAGGCAACCTCAATTTCCATCAGCATTCACGTACCGTCGTCTGACTGTAAAATCTCAAACTCTTCCCCAACAACACCTTTTTGCATTTCCAGCGGCAAAGCTCCTCTCCGTAGCACCAGCTCCGACTTGAGCTTGTTGATCTCCGTCACCGGATCTTCCCGTCTTAGTCTCGTAGCATCTATACAAAACATCATCAGATGTCTATTTTTCCAGTCTCAATAGAAACCCAACTCACCATTAGGATTCTGATCCCGTAATTTACACTCTCTGTCTCCACTCTGATGTCCCCAGTCTTCGCATCGAACACAGCGAACATTACGCAATCTCAGCCCCACTGGGTTAAAATTGACTCGAATAGTCTCCGTATATTTCCCTTCCACTGGTGCATCCTTCAGCATAGGAAACCGTTCAACCTGATCTTTAATAGTCAGTGTCTCCTCTGCTCGACGTCCAACATATCGCTCAAGCTTCCGTTGAGTCCCCCCACGGCTCTCCACTTTGCGTCGAAACTCTCTTACCGCTTCGTCCTCCTCGATCGTCATCTGCTTCGTCTGTTGCATCATTTCTTTGGCCTCTGGAAGTCCCGGAGGAGCCGCATAGAGAAAATTCACTTGCTCACTTGCCATTCGACGAGCTGCGTTGACGTCTCCAGCTGCAGCAGCGGATTGTTGTGCCTGTAGAGCGTCTGCAGCTTTACGCACTTCCTTGGCTTTTTCCATTTCATTCTTTTCTCGTTCCCGTGCATTCTGTTCTGCTACCCAAATGCGCTTCTGATTTGCTTTATTCGCTGGATGCCAGCTCTTCTGACCCAGGAATTGCAGTGACATATTGATTATAGGTAGAATTTAGTAATGACAAAAAAAAGAGTAGACACAAATGTTTGAGTGTGTTTATTTTCTTGTTTTTTTGTGTACACGTATTTTCAATGGGTTTTTCGTCATGTACAAAAGAAGGCATAAATTTAGATACTTTACCCAATTTAAGTATGTTTAGAGACGGTGCTTGTAGCTTGAGCTTTGGCACCAAGGTAGACCAAGTGCACGTATCTACTTCTTCTATACTTGGCACTATAACTAGTATGCAATATATATATATATATATGCGTTTAGATCCGGACATTGGAACCCGTGCTGGCGGAGAAGGACCACACGCAGTTTTTCGTCGGGACCAGCACTTTAAATCAACCCAATCAGGTTCTTTTATGTTTGATAATACCTGTACAATACTGGACTATTTTTTTGTGACTATACTTTTTTGTGAATGTAATTAGATTCATGTGGTTCAAGTAAATGATGACGCAAGCGACGTCATCACGACTCAATTGTTCTGTCATCCTGGAGAGGTGCTGAGTTTAGCGCCAAGTCCTCATAATCGACAGCTGCTAATTACATGTGCAAAACAACGAGGTCAATCATCGGAAACTTTATTGTGGAAACTACCGGAAGAAGAGCCAATTTCAGGAGACAATGGAAAGGATACAGGAAGTGGTGCTATGATGCAAAACCTTGAGCAGTTGGCGGCATTCCCAGCGCAGAAAGGACCCGTTTCAGAGTACAATAGACGGTGGATTTTGTGCAAGTTTTGAGGCTGGAATTAATCTGTATCTTGTCTGGATGAATTAGAGTTGCTTGGAATGCTATGACGGACACATCGACGGTAGCGTCAGCACATGAGACGCTGCTATGCACGTGGCAATTGAATGAGGGATTGGTGGAAGCACAGGACAAGTTGGAGCTTGATGTGTCAATGCTTGGAGGTGTTACGAAGAAAGGGGCCACTGCGTTGGCCTGGGATCCACACCACGCTTCACGACTAGCTTTTGCTCTTGGTGGCAGTGTACGAATGTGGGATCTCCGTGCCAAGCAAGACAGCGTCAGTGTCGAAGACGCACACCCGAGCGCAACGCTGTCGCTCGATTTCAACCCGAACAAGCCATATGCTCTTGCTAGTGGCGGTGATGACGGCAAACTCAAATTCTGGGACTTGCGCAATGCACACAATCCATTATTGACGCTTAATGCGCACTCACACTGGGTATGGAGCACGCGGTATCATCCACAGCATGATCAGCTTGTTCTGTCGGGAGGATCAGACGCGACGTTGGCGCTGTGGCGAGTGTCTTCAATCTCCTCATTGCCGCTTGTCGAGCTGGATGAGCGTGATCTTATGGACGAGACGGCAGGTGGCACAACTGTAATGGATACGCTCATTCGACGATTTGAAGACCATGAAGATGCTGTGTATGCAGCGCGATGGGCTACTGGAGGAGATACTTGGATGTTTGCCTCTGTGTCGTATGATGGTCGCCTTGCTATCAACCACGTACCATCGACAGAGAAGTACAAGATTCTGCTCTAGTTTAGCGAAGCAGTAACGTAAATTTACGCATGTAATGTGTCTTGATGTTTATGTTGAGTTGGTTCGTACGTCGGGCCTGAAGACTCTTTGTTGTCTGTCAAGTGGAAAATCACTTTTCCTCTTGATATCTACACTGATTGGTTTGTTGGTTTGTGCTACACTGCTCTACTACGCTCATTTCACGCACCTCACACTTCTCACTTCAAGCTTCACGCATCATCTTGCTAGCTTCATTACGAAGCCAGTCGAGCTCATCCATAGCCTGCTGGAATCCTGTCATATCACTCTTGCCAACACAATTTGCAACTTTCTGCGCTGCAGCAGCAAGTCGTTCTTCCAAAGTGCTGCTACCAATAACTTCAGCTTGTTCTGATGTGGCACATTGACCCGACAATACCGTACTGGCACCAAGAGCCGCAGCTGCTACAGCCGCACTGGCGGGAGTGCCTAACGAGCCCGCACGCTCAACTGTACTGCTACGTACAATTCCAGATCCATGTGCAAGGATTTTCTTTGCAGAGGCCTTTGGCGTCGAGCGAGGGAAGCCAGGTGGTGCTGTCACCGACGGCGCCGTGGCCGGAACACGGCTTCCCCGATCTTCCTTTTTAGTAATTAGTAGGCGTGCTGCGCTGTTCGCACCGATTCCCAGAGAGCTCTGAATAATTTCGTCCTTGGCGCGAGTCTTGTCCTCGCTACTTAAGCTACCCTGACGGGCCAATTCTGCAACTTTTCGAAGCCGCGCACCGTTCGGACTCATCATCGGCAAGCCATTGCCTTTTGTCGACGACGTAGTAGAAACATCGTCGTCGTCATCTGCCATCGGTGGTGGTGGTGGAGGGATTGACAGCGCTGCAAGACCGCCACTGCCCTGTTGCTGCCGAGAAGCGTTGTAAAAGGACACAAAGCTGCCCGAAATTTCTGCTGTATCATCATAACCCCCAGTCACTTGCACAAGATCCTCATCCGTGTAGTCTTGCGAGCTTGATTCATCTTTAGCTGAAGTTGATGAACTCGCATCCGAATCCTCTTGAATTCCATCATTGGCATCACCGCGTCGCTCAGCTATTCCTGGCATCGCACCAGCTGTACCGCAACTCGGATGTCCTCCCATCTCACCATTATCGGTAAAAGACAAATCACGAGCAAGTTCAAGACGGCTTTTGCTACGCCGACGAAACTTGAAAAATTCAGCAGCATTGCCAAAGCTGCCACGCCGAGCCGCGCTTCCAAGTTGCGGAATATTAATTGAGCTTGAGGGGGAGCTTGCCAACGTCGATGAGGATGATAATGGTGGGTGTGGTTGCGCACCTGTACTACCCCGACTGCGCGCTGACGGCTGTAATGGCAATCCGGTAAGTTGGGCCGCAGCTTCAGCAGCGGACGAGTTTAGCCCACTCACACTGTTCTCAGTATCCAAATCCAGTTTTTTTCGCGCAGTATTGGTCTGTGGTGTCATGAGCACGGCCTCAGCTACTTGCCAGGGCACCGTCATAGAAGACCGCCTTGTGAGTCCAGGTGGCGGTGACAGCACGGAATGCTGATCTTGTACTTGACTTACACTAGCGACACTGTCACTTGTCATGGCTGATTCATCTCGTGACGCGATGTTATAGTAAGACGTTTGCTGGTTGTAAAAAGTGGCGCCACTGTTTGCGGAGGCGTTAAGCTTCTTACTTCGAGCTGGAGGAGGAGACCAAGACGGTAGCGCCGAGGAAACGAATCCACCACTTTCGTCCATTGGCGGTGGCGGTGGAAACGAATCTTGGGTGAACTGCAGTGAAGAATTGCGGGCAGGAGTTGCGCTGTCGTCGAGACTGCCACGACCAGGGTCCGTTTCTTGAGAAGAAGTCGAGTTACCGCCGTCAGCTCCTCCAAAATCGTAGGAAGAAAAGTAATCCTCAGGTGTCTGACCCCCGGTGTATGAGTAGCGCACGGACATGCTGCCCACCGACGTGTCAACATTCGGCAGCTGCGAGCTGCGCGAACGACTACGGTGTCCACGTGTTAAGTTTGCATCTCCCAATCCCGAGCTCATAGGTCCATGACTGCGACTAAGATCACTCGGCCCATGACTGCGACTAAGATCGCTCGGCCCATGACTGCGACTAAGATCGCTCGGCCCATGACTGCGACTAAGCTCGTTTCCAAACCCGCTATACTGCGTACTGCTGTTACTTTGCGTGTGATGTGCGCGTTTGGGTGTGTGTACCGGCGTGAGCGAGCTACGTAGAGTATCATGGTAGTATATCTTGGCAGCATTGTTCAGCATTGCTTTGCTTACAAGTCCAGTAGCTTCACTTGCGTGAACTGGAACATTTTGCGATGCTACACGCAGCGCCGTAAGCTGCTTCAGCTCCTGCACCGACATGCCTGTCTTGGGAACAACTGGTGGAGTAGCCACTGCTGCCGGTGTAGATGTTGCATTGACCACAGCCATATTAATTTTGGGCGTGGCTGATCTCGATGACGAAAAACCCTCGGGCCCATGATTCTTGGGTGTTCCTGGGTTGTTAGTCACCGACTGCTGCATCCTTTTCTGTGTAAGCCGCTTAAGATCTTCCACCGTCATGCCACTTTTAATGCCCATTTTTGCCCCCGAAAACGCAGACTTTTGAATTCCAGAACGGGTGGTAGTAGTGCCTGTATTACGATATCCGCCGCTTCTATTGGAATATAAGCCTGACACATTACTTTGGTGTTGTTGCTGTAGCTGCTGCTGCTGCTGCTTCTGATACTGTTGATACTGGTACGAGTTTTGTTGGGCCTGAGCTTGCATTTGCTGCTGGTAGACTGAAAATTGCGGCGGGGACGCAACTGTCTGTTGTTGCATGTAGCTCTGCTGCGAACGCACGCCCATTTTACGATGGTGCATGTCCGCCATGACACGACCAGACTCACGACGGCACGACACAAAGTACGTAGAAACTTTCTTTTGGTGCTGGAGGGCTGCTGTCTCTTCGTACGACTTACTTGTCTCGGTCGAATTGTGACTTGAGCTCTTCGCCCCCCTCGGTATAATTAATACTCCACGTAATGTGGATGTGATGCTATTTTTATATTTTTATAGGCTAGAATTAAAAACAATTCGAGGTAAAATAACCGGATTATTATATTAATTCGAGCTAATTCGAGTCTTATATTGAGATAAGCTTGTACCATCTCGTGCGTGACCTTTCAAGATCGGTTTCTTCTGCTACTCCGTCATTAGTAGCACAACGACTTCTAGCTACAAAGAAACCACCAGCTGCTACATCCCACACCATGTATGAGCAAAGCTGCACCATCTCATTGTAAAAAAAACGCCCAGTGGTAACTCGTACCTCTCGACTTTTCAATTTAAGCTCAGTGCTTGGCAAAAGTTTCTAGCGCGTGATCTTGTTGCCACAGCAACGTACAACCCGTTGTAATGTTTCATACATTGCAGCTGTTGAAGCTCATCACCGATTAGGAGTTGAATGGTTGTTGCTGATAGGAAATTCGCAGTAGGTGTGTACCAAGTAGTACGACAATATTGCAGCCTTCTATGCCAATGTCAGGGTCGCGCTTACTCTCGTCGTTCCAGACGTCCTAAAGCGAGATTTTGACAGTCTGAAGAAAGAATTGTCAAAGACTCTCACAGTTTGACACGTTTGAAGACTTGGCATGACTGCACTCCTAAAACCTTGGTCATTGCGGGATACAACACGGGCTTTGGCAACTTCGTGAACTCGCACAGACACGGACTGCTCTTGGGCTTACTGCCGCATCTTCGTCGTATCGTCGAGTCTAGCAACCCCGGTATATTTTTACTGCCAACTACGAGATATGAAGAGAGAGTTTGTTGTAGTACCGTCACGTTGTTTTTGTGAATATGGTGCTGCCAAGCGGAATCCGCTCAGTGCCGCGTCGCACTAATAAAGAAGGACAGCAAGGTATGATATGGTCGCGGCTGGAAGCAGCTACAGTTGGTTGTATGCGGCGTCGATAAGGACCGCCAATTCGATGTAAAGTGCGGAAACGTATCGACGCTGTAGAAGCGATTGAATGCGGAGATGGAAATTTACTTGCAAGAAAAGCTGCTTATTCGGCAAAGCGATGTTGCAATGTGGCAGTAACGGTAGCAATTACCTACAGCTTCGGCACCTTTTAGATCATTTTGCGTCAAAAGAGCCGACGAACTGGAAATGCCAAGCTCCGAGGTCAGCGTCGTTTGAACCACGGGTGGCACTCCGTTCTGACCGTCTTTGCGCCGGGGAGTTATCTTTCGAAACCAAGCTAAGACTACTTCAATTGACCAAGCAGTTTGACTCTTCGCATTCTTTGTCATTTGTTTGAAAACAAGCGAGTATCAATGCGATAGTCACATCCAGCTCCACCATGCATTCAACTACGGAGCACCGTTCGCTTTCGTCAACTACTATCAGAACATGTACCGGCAGTGTCTCTTATCAGAATCCTCTTAGCTATCCCTCATACTTGGGCACGTTCTCACTGCTTGATAGGCTTAAACGCAATGTCCTTTGCGATTTTTGCTGCAACCTTTTCACCCCGAAGCAGCTCAACGAGTGTCATAGCCATAGAAATCACTGTAGCAGGGCCTTTGCTTGTGACACAATTCTCAGCAATCACCACTTTGTGTTCTGAGTACAGATCACCTAGAGCCGGCTTGTCAATTGGGTCACCAGCCATGGGACCCTCGACGAGCGCATTATGGAAGAGAACGTCGTAAACAGCTTCGCCAACGGCGGCGTACAGCTTCCCTGCCGCCTTTTGCTCTTTTAACAGTGTTGTCAAGGTCTGAGAAGCACCTAAAGCCTTTGCACCTGGCCCACCAGGTACAGCAATGACATCGTAAGCATCATTGACGCAAAACTCGATCGGCTTGTCCGCTTGCACACCAGTGCCCTTCGCCAGCTTCACAATATGGTGGAGCTGTCCTCCGACATTTGCAACTGTCACACGCATACCGCCACGGGCAAGTATGGCGCAAAGAGCTGCCACCTCAATCTCCTCACAGCCTATAGCCTGCATTTGACCGCACATGTCAGCCACGCACAATCATGTACGCGTTCTCAAGTCCAACTACTCACCACCGGAACGAGCGCCGTGGGTTTCGGACTCACAATTTCGCTGATCGCTTGTGCAATTCGAGCCATGGTTCTTCTTCGTGGAAAACTTCGATATGCGATGTTTTGGGGCATGGTGCTGTTGTTGAAGTTCATGTTGGCTGTTCCCATACGCTTGCTTAACGGTCTTGAAGCTGTGACGGCTTTCATTTTTGCTCACAACCGAACCGACCAGAAATCGCAAACATGATGGCTGGAGGAACTTCAGAATACACTGCATTGGGAGATGAGGATCTTCCAGTTCAGGTGCTGCCACACGTGAAGCCTCAGGCTTTAATCGTGGTGGCAGACGGCAGTGACGAACTCGAGACATTGGCACTGTCCGATGTTTTGATCCGCGGGGGGCTGCATGTCACCATCGGCTCGGTCGGTCGAGTGAAGAATAATATCATTATGGGCAACTACGGCTTGCGTATCCAGGCCGAAAAGTCACTCGAAGAGTGCAGCTTCGAGAACTTCGAGCTAATTGTTTTACCTGGAGTACGATCATGACTCATATCACTTCAGACATTAATCCGCTGCACTGATCTTAGCTGATGAATTGTACAGGGCGATGGAGTTGGCCACTTGCGTGACTCAGATCTCTTGATCAAAATGCTGATGTGGCAGAAACAGGCTGGACGTTGGATTGCAGCGAGTTCGTCAGCGCCTGCGATTGTGCTGAGCCCGCATGGGTTGCTTGATGACCGTGCGACGTGCTCGCTCTCCCACGAGCCTCAGATGACTCGTGAGTTTGTGGATGAAGACTTTGTCGTCAATACTCGGTGCGTGACAAGCAAAGGCGGTGACACAGTGCTGAAGTTCGCACTTACGCTGGTCAAGTTGCTGAATGGGGAGCTGGCTGCTCGCAGAGCTGCAGATGAGCTCTTGTACCCTTGGCTGTAGGTTGAACACGTTCGTAGTGAGTTTGCTCCAAAGAGTGTGAACTTTTACATAAAGAGTGAGGTGGCCATCCATTTCAGTAGGACTAATATTTATCGTCACGCGTAGTACTAGTTTTGTAACGGGGTTACACGACGGTTGTAACATCATTCCGAAAGTTTATGGCTGAAGTTTTCTTTTGTTGCATATAATGCATTTTGATGCTTCTCTTTAGAGAGGTATTAAGTATGAGCGTTTAAAATATGGTATTACCGAATACCGTGTCCTATCGATTAGGATTCGATAATCGATAACGCAGTACTAAGTACATCATACACAAATGTTTAGACGATACGTCGTCCAATAGCAAAGTCTACATATAATAATAACTATTATAGTGATCAATCTAGTGTAGGGTACTTAGAGTAGGACTATTCCTAACATCTTAAAGCATAAATAAAATCAGTTCTCCTTTTGAGTTTAAGATCGCAAGTCGCTCTGACTTGTTCTCTTGTGCACTTCGTGCGTTGGTTCTCTGGACCTTGAAGCTTCTAGCTTGTTCTTGCACTCTGTGCGTTGGTTATCTGAACCTTAAACTTATTGCTTGCAGACTAAAAGTCTCTCTCCTAGTTCCGTAGAACAGGGAGACTTTAAGTCCCTTAATTAGTTCCTTCGAGCTAAGTGGCTTTTAGCCGTAAATGTATTTAGTTCTCTAGAACTAAGAGGATTTCAGCCTAAAGTCTTCCTCTAGCTAAAGAGCTGTGCAGCTCCGCTATACTTGGTAGCACTCGTAGTCAATCTGTAGACGGGCACTTCTACGAAATTGCCTCGTGCTACTAGCACACACCTTCTGCACAAGCGAGGAAGCGGTTAGACCGTCTTGCCTTCGCGTGCGAGGGTGGTTAGGAGGCTGATCGACTCGTACCACCAGTTGCCTCTCTATAAAGCGAGAGTGCAACGAACTTTAAGACAAGAAGGCACCGACGTCACGTAGAAGCTTTTCGGCTTCTCGTGCGTGGTGCTTCGGTGTTTAGCAAATTCAAGACTGAGCTATAAATAATGAATTATAACTAAAAATATACTCAACTACTGATTGGCTAAAAAAAAATATATATATATATATATATAGATCGGATACGCGACTCTTTAGAAGCGTATCCTGTCGCATGATCTTAAATCTAGATGTAAGATCGCAACTGACGTCCTTCTGAGACGTCGCGATGCCTAGCTTCAACTAGCGTCATCCCTTCTCATGTGAATCCATCAATGGATATCACATTCACGAGGGTGGACCACGTTTGTGTATCGCACCCAAGTGATAGGTCAAAAGTAATCATGGATACTTTTAGACCAAACATTAAGTATATTACTTAATGTTTACGTGTAACGAGATGCCCTATTACACCATCCCCCGTTTTATAACGATTTTTACATTTTGTAAAACATCGCCTAGGAGACAGAGAGACTTGCGAGTCGTTATATAACGCGCCGCTTAGTCTGCTCAGTACTCATGCCACCAAAACGTGGTAAGGCTGATGGGTCGCCTGCAAAGGCACCCATGCAGTCCAGCACTAAGCGCACGCGCCGCGATTTATCGCAGCCGTCTCAAAGTGCTTCAGGCACTGAGGTGAATCTTCCATCTCACGATAATGTGGATGAAGATCCGTCTCTCATTGTAGATTACAATGAGAATACACCATTGCCATCACCCCAAAGTAGCGATGAGCATAGTGCATTGAGGGACAAGTGCCCCCATCATTTGAGGCACCCGTCCTTGTGAAAGCATCTATGCTTCCTACAAGCGAAGGTAAAACCCCGTCGTCTGCGCCTACGAGCGCAGCGACTAAGACTGAGCGCGCTACTTCGAAAGGAGTAGTCGCGACTCAGTCAGATGTAACTTCTCATGCTGATGTCTTGACAATCCATAATGTAGAGTCAGACTCAGCTGAGTGTGAGCTTAAAGCTCCACCAAGTACATCTTCGGCCTCACTAGCCCGCCGTCGCGAGGGCGGCTACGTGAGTGGTGGCTTGCCACCAATGCCACCTCCATCTGAGTGGATGAACTCTGATGGGTCTAGCGCAGCGCTTTTGCAGCGTGCCACTATAGACGCTCATAAGTTCTATAGCGTCTTTCCTTTGTGGAAAAAGCAGGGCAAAGCACTTGGTCGTGCTTTCCCAATTCCAGTCGTGCTGCGTTCTAACGAAACAGCCGACGAATATGAATCTGAACTTCTGCGCCGTGTCAAACCCCATATAGATGCAATGAAACAGCAGTCGCAGTGAATCCTCTTCGCTAAGACGCGTGCGAGGCAAAAATTTGGGTGATAACATACCTCAGCTCCTTCTCTTCACGCCGCCCCTGCTAGTACATCAGGACTTAGCAGAGCGAGTGCAGCTGGTGCTTCTGACCATGAGCAGCCACCATCCCAGGCACGTCGATACACAACGCGTCGATCGGTTCCCAAGAGTCGAAACATTTTTGGTATCCTTTCCACTAGACAAGAATCTGAAGCTTTCGCTTCACATAGCGGTGGGCCAACAACCTTCCAACAAGGAAGCGTGTGTTCCCACCCGCATCCACCACCACAGGTGGCGCCCGATAGGAGCGGCGATTACGCCCAACTATTCGCAGCTGTCTATGTTGTCGTTCTGTCGCAGGCGTAGATCGCTGCGCTGAAGAAAAAGGTGGCTGATATGTCGAGTCAAGTCTCGCGACTGACTTCGGATATACGATCTGTGAATACAAGGGATAGTCAGTAGTATGGCCACCTGAAACTTCGTTTCAACATTGTAGCGACTGATGATGAGAGTTCTGAGTCAAACGCGGAGACCTCCTCTATCACCGAGTCCTCTGTCGTCTCGCTCGTATACGGAACGTCGTTCACCTTCCACGTCGCCTAATCGGAAATGACGCTCGACTCACTGTCAACTTCGCCATCGGTGATGCGGACATGTGATCTCTTCTGGATCAACATACCGTTTTAGACGACCCACGTAAAAGACGGGGTGCGTGGTGGGAGAATGAGCCTATAATTTAGGTCTCCAACTTTTTCAACCACTGTAAAGGGCCCAATGAATCGGGGCAATAGCTTAGTATTACCACCAGTTAGTACAGAAATTGCATGTTTAGGTAGGGTAGCAGTACTTAATAGCACTTTGTTCCCAACACTAAAGTGTTCATTGTTTTTGCGACCATGCTGGTCCGCATATTGTTTTTGCTTGTCCTGTGCGCTTGTCATCGCGTCACAGGCTTTACGTGTGATGGCTAATCGCTCATCCACAAAGCGCTGAGTTCAATCACGCTTTTACCATCCAGCTCGCCTTTGACGCCTCCAAGTGGTCTATCGTGGGTCGACGCTGCTGATAACACTATAGTGTCATCATCAAGGAGCGCTGGCATTTCTTGCCGTGCCTCCTCTGTGACACCTATAGGTGACGTGACCACTGCTATATTAGCAGTGTCACTAGGGCAACCTTGGCCCTCTTTGGCATTCGCACCGAGCGAAGTGAGGGGCCCTCCCCCACTAAGACTCGGGCTGCGTACAAACGAGACTGGCGTTCGAGGATGACGCAGTCCGTTAATGTAAAACGGTGTTTCACCCGTACTGGCGTGAACACTGTTATTAATAGCGAACTCCACGAATGGCAATTGATTGCTCCATTCTTTGGGAGTCGCTATTGTACGCAACACATCCGCCACGACTCGATTGGCCCGTTCTGTTTGGCCATCGGTCTGAGGATGATCAGCGGTTGACATGTGGAGCTTGCTACCTAGCAGATCAAACACATGACGCCATAAACCCGACGTAAAACGCGGATCCCGGTCCGATACTATGGACTCGGGCATCCTGTGTAGTCTATACACGTGATCCAGAAACAAGAGGGCAGCCTCTTTCCCTGAGATCTTGGTGCTACATGGTGCCAAATGCACCATCTTGCTCAGTCTGTCTACAAAGACGACGAGCCCCGTCCTGCCTTTATGGTCAGGCGGTAAGCCAAACATGAAGTCCAAACTGACCGACTTCCAACATTCAGTTGGAATCGGCAGTGGCTTCAGTGGCGCACTGTTCGAAGGTGCAGGCTTTATGCGCTGACACTCTTCGCAAGAGCAAATATAGTTGGCCACCCACCGATAAAGGTGGGGCCATCAAAATTCCTCTGAAACTCGTAAGAATGTCTTTTCACGGCCCAGATGCTCACTAGATAGCGCATCATGGCACTCGTGAAGTATCATCAGCTTGAGATCTGTGTCATGAGGGACATAGATTCTCAAGGGATCACAGGGTGACAGTTGATGCCATAACAGGCCATCACTATAACTAAAGCGATTTAGTTTCGCTTTGAGGTGCGACGGAAGGATAAACTTTCGTCCGACAAAATGATACAACAGCAGGCGACGAAGTTCGTCGTGACTGTAACACTACTTGATATCGGAGGACATTGAGCTCGTCACATGGTAGGCCTTCATGGCTGCCAATGTTGACGACTAAACTTGTGTTTTCGCACGAGACACACTTTCCTGGTGTCTTTCCTCGAAGTCTGGTCTGCGCGATAACGCGTCAGCCAAGACATTCGAGTTACCCGGCTTATATTCAGCTGTAAAATTAAATTTAAAGAAGAATGTTAGCCATCTCGCCATTCTCGGCGAGAGGTGCGGTGAATTTATAGCGGTCCGCAGTGATGCGTGATCCGTATAAACCACAAAAGGTTCGGTGCCCAAGAGGTACACCCGAAACTTTACAAGGGCATACTTAATTGAAAGTAGCTCCTTGTCATGCACAGGGTTATTCAGCTCTGCGGCTTTCAAAAGCCGAGACTGATACGGAATGACACGGTCAACGCCGTTGTCATCCTTTTGCATGAGCGCGTTGCCGATTGCAAAATTGCTTGCATCGCAGACGACGCTAAAGGGCTTATCCGCGTCTGGCAATGCAAAGACCGGTGCCTCTACAAGAGATTGATTCACTGATGTGAACGCATCTTCTTGTTCCTTTGACCAAGTCCATTCTGTATCCTTTTTCAAA